CCCTAAAGATCAAGATATTACATATAAATAAATATTTGAATTACCTTTATAGATATATAATAAAATATTTTTTTTTTTAAATTTAAGTGTCATAAAATATCTGGGCTTTTATGTGTTACATATTTCATAACCGATCTTAAATATTCTTCAGAGCTGTAACTGATAACAACAGCTTGTACACGAGTAGAGTACGAACTTTTTTGTGTAAAGTTTATTCTTTTCCACCTAAAAATTTGTTTATTACACTGTTGAATTGCTCGCAAGCGTTGTTGTCTACATCCATTATCAAACTTTCTGCATTATTTGACAATCTAGATACAATTGTATCGATTTCCTGTCTAATTGATTTCAACTTGGAAATCCCTTCTAAAAGAATGTTTTGCGGAACACCAGATCTTTTACAAAATTATGCGGAACATTTTTCGTGGATTTCAAAAATACGGTGATTTGGTGCGTTAGCTATATCAAGTCCTAAAATAATTTCATATAATATACATATAATTTAGCAAATAAAAACATGTACAACATATAATGTGTTTTTTTATTTACCACCAACTTTATGATATAAAGGTTTGTTTTCTAATTTACGGAAACGTATAGCACATGTTCTAAGTTCGCTTGGATAAGGCCATTCATTTTTGGCTGTAATTAAGGAGTAAATAGTTTCGGAACTCGACTTTTTGGACTCTACATATTGGGCCATACGGTAGTATCTCATAAGGTATCTTTGTGACACTGCTAACACCATCTCCTAAATTTAATTTACGTTTTTATCAAGATAACAGTACCTATACTATAATACTAAATATATTTATAATTTTTTGTTACCTATCAGTTTAGAATATTTTACTCAGTGTATTTCTATACTTCTTTTGAAACCTTCTGCAATTGTATCGGCTTCGATGCTAGTGGCACCTTGCTTTCAATTCAGAAAACAAAAATGATTCAGAGTTTCTATTTTTTTATTATTAAATATTTCGCAAATCACGCAATACCTGTTCTGAATCCCAACAAACAACACTTTTTTGGTTTTATAACCAGTAATACTAGCCTATATTAAATTATGAAATGTGTTAATAACGAATCTTAAGAAAAATTATTTTTCCATTTATTGAGATTCTAACATTAAATCTAGTCACTTAAAAATGATACTTATTACACCGGACAATGCGTCGTATTTAATTGGGTAGCTTCGTTTAGACCATTGTCTTTAATAAATTATTGATATATACGAAGGTGTCACTGAATTTTCTTCAGTCGACGTATCATGGGGAACCAAATCAAAATGTACCTCTTGTTGAGCATTAAAATTAGCAGTTTTTAATCTATACATTTTTTGATGAATATCCAATGTCGTATAAATTTAAGCTTTAGATTTAGACGATTTTGACTTTAAACTGGCTTATAAAAAAAAATATCGACTAAAATTTTAATTTTTTTTTTAATTGCGAAAATTAAAACTTATAAGGTATCTTGTATAAATAGCTCATAAAAAGTCAAAATATTTTGATAATTTAACCGTCTATAGACAACACTAATATAAAAATTTCAAGTATTTACAGTTATTATTTTTTGAGTAATTTATAATAATAATAATTGCGTGCAATATTGAACAGCGAAATTAACTTTACATAATATATTTTTGATATTAAAAAAAAAACAATTCTGATTATTTTATTTTTGTACCAATGATTATATTTTAATTATGATTGAATATAAGATATCATAAATATTTTTTATGAATTATTATAATAGGTAGGTAGGTATTTATAATTTTTTTATTTAGGGCTTATTCCTGGTTATAAGCTAGTGAGGGCTGTACATCCTGACAATACTGCTCACGGTGGTGTCGCCATTCTCATCAAATCTACTATAATATTTCAAACTCTTCCAAATTACTGTTACGACTACTTACAATCGTGCGCTGTACTAATATACTTAAACAGTATTCCTGTGACAATAGCAGCCTTATACTCCCCCCCCCAAAAAAAAAAAACACCAGGTTTTAAATGTAGACTTCCATAATTACTTTAGTTCCTTTGGCAATAATTTCATTGTGGGCGGTGACTATAATGGCAAGCATCAAAGTTGGGGTTGTCACTCAAATGGCTGCGTTCTTCATTCTTACTCATGTGCAAAAACCTTAATGTACTTGCCCCTCCAGACCCTACCTATTGGCCATCTTCAGGAAAAATCCTGACATACTCGATATTTTTGTCACAAAAATTCCCTCTTCTCTACACTCTTCTGCTGTTAACCTCCTGGATCTTAACTCTGACCACTCATCAGTCCTATTCACACTCAATACCATCCCTCTAACTTGCTCTGAGCTACCTAAGCTATTTAACGCCTCCACCGACCATTTAAAATTGCATAACCTTGTTAATCAGGGCATTAAACTAAATGTTAAACTAAAATCTACCAACGACATTGACTTAGCTATAAATAATTTTACAAATTTGATCCAGTCAGCGGCCTGGTCATCAAACTCTCACACTCATCATCCTCTAAATTAGACTTCAGTCCCATCTGATATTAATTGCAGATAAGAGGAGGGCTAGAGCCCTGTTTCAACGTAATCGCCTTCCCTCTCTTAAACATAACTATAATAAACTTTCTAATCTCCTTAAAAAAATGTTGGCCAAACACAAAACCTCATTGCTTGAGAAGTTCTTGACAAATCTGTCTCCACACGACGGCAGTCTTTGGAAAGCCACCAAAAGAACATGTAAACTCAATTATCCAAACATACCAATTAAAAATCAGATGGATCCTTCGTCTGCACCGACCTGGACAAATCCGAATTGTTTAAAGAATATCTTTATGAGACATTCCAACCCCATCCTGATATCTTCTCTCTTGAAAATAATATTGCTGTTGCTGAGTCTCTAAACTCTCCTCTTCCTGTATCTCGTCCTGTAAAACATTTTTCTCCAAGTGAAGTCAAATTCGTTATTGATAAGTACCCTCATAAAAAATTCTCCAGGTTTTAATCTCATCACAGGCGAAGTTGCCAGATGTTTACCTAAAAAAGCTATCATACACCTTACTCATATTTTTAATTGCATTTTAAGACTTTCGTACTTTCCAATACTATGGAAACTTTCAACCATTATTATGTTTCCCAAGCCTAAGAAACCTCCAGATTCCGTTTCTTCCTTCCGTCCAATTAGTCTCCTCCCTTTTTTCGCAAAAATCCTGGAAAAATTGATCCTTAAGCGCATCTTGCCAAGTATCTCAAACTCGGTCCTACCCGATGCCCAATTTGGCTTCCGGTCTGCCCACTCTACTATTTATCAGGTGCATAGAATTGTCGACGCCATCTCCTTCTCACTCGAAAAAAAACAGTATTGTACCTGCGCCTTTTTAGACGTTTCACAAGCGTTCGACAGAGTATGGCATGATGGTCTTCTTGTTAAATTAAAAAAAATCTTGCACCCTGTTTTCTACCTTATCATAAAATCATACCTATCCGACCGTAATTTTCAAATCAGATTCGGTAATGCTCACTCAACTATATCCAATATTTCAGCCGGTGATCCACAAGGGGGCATACTCTCCCCTGTACTTTATAATATTTATGCTGCTGATCAGCCTACTACACTAAACACTCTTGTTGCTGATTATGCAGATGATAAGGCAATAATATCTATAAATTCTAATCCGGAAATATCCTCACTCAATTTTCAGAATCACCTAACCCTTATGGAAGACTGGTATTCCAAGTGTCGGTTCAAAATTAATCAGTCTAAGTCTATCCATACAACTTTCACACTTCGTATTTTTCCTTGCCCAGAGGTATCTATTTATGGCACTCAAATTCCTACTTCTTCTACAGTCAGATATCTAGGACTTACACTTGATCGTAGACTTACCTGGGCTCCCCACCTAAAATCTAAAAGACAAAATTTAAACCTACGGCTGCGCCTGTTAAAAAATTTGTGCAATAACAACAAATACACACACATTAAAACTAAACTCCTTATTTATAAATCTCTAATTAAGCCCATCTGGACATATGGCATACAATTCTGGGGTAATGCAAAACTTTCAAACATCAACAAAAGACAAACCTTCCAAACATAGCGCTAAGGAAACTACTTATTTCTCCACCTTATGTCTCCAACCTTTCCATTCAGCAAGATCTCAGGATGAACTCCGTCAAAGATGAAGCAAAACTCTACTATAAGCGGTTTCACAGTAGGTTACTTAATCATCTTAAACCTCTCATAAAAAATCTAGCAGTCCCTTCGATTCCGGGTAACCCCGTCAGACGTCTCAAACGTAATTGGTGTCGTGACCTGCTAGACGCTTGAATCCTAGTTGAAATCCTCCTAAACTCTAAACAAAATAGGTAGTGTCATCATTGGGTGGCTTCTTCCGTCATATTACTCATGTTTTTAATACCCTTATCTAATTTGCTTATTATTCTATGTATGAATAGATTGTAAATATCTTGTAAAAAAAAAAAAAAAAAAGGACTTATGAATATGATCTCAACGTTTTATTTATTTTCTTTTTCTTCCGATTTTCTTGTCTACCCATGACATATTTTCATGTGTTGCAACCCGATCACAGCTATAATGCGAGCCCCCGTGTATCACTCCGCCACCGACCGGCTCACATACAACACAATTTTTTCTATATTTGTATTGTTTTATTTTTGTGTTAATTGTGTCGTATGTGAATTATATAATAATAATAATATGTAGCGTATTTTTCAAATCTACCAGAAGCAGATTTTTAGATATTTATTATAATATTTTTTCAAAAATTGTTGTTAGAATTAATGCAATGTTCATAGTTTGTATAGAACGTAGAAAATAACTTAATCTTAGTTTTATATTTTTGTATGTATAGTTTAGAATGAATATTATGTGTATTTACGTTCATAAATTAGTTAGGACCGTCTTAAATATTAAAACAATAAAATAATTATAAATATAAATTGTGTATAGCAGTCCCGACGTGGAAGAAAACCAAAAGTCGATTATGATTCAATGTTTGAAAGCCTTAGTAGAGAAGCAAAACATATCTTTGATTCAAATGGAGTTCTGTCAGCATACTCAAGTTCAATTTGGGTCAAAATTAAAGATGAACTAAAGGGGAAAATATCTGCTGGATCATTTTACATAAGCATTTTACAAGATCGCCAGTCTTGGCGAACAAATTTGTTAAAGATTCTTGGTATAACAATTGATCAAAGTACTTTTGAAATTGAAGAAGACGTGCTTGAAAGTTCTACAAATTTAGACGGTAAAAGTGATTCTGATTCCGATGGGAATTTAAAGACATTTAAATTTGATATACTTTACACAGAGTATATTAAAATGAAACCGACAGGCGTTCGTTATGGGAAAAGATATAAACCATTTATTGTCTTAAAGCAAGGCAATGGACCAATGTCATTCATAAATAATGCTTTCCTTAAAAATCACAAACTACCCTGTGCGTTCATTTATAAAATATGTAGAGTAGCTTTGATCCCAAGATCCTAGAATTACAAAGTACATTTAGCCAGCTTATATTACTTTCTCTCAAATCATTATTTGAACGATATCGCTATCTGCGTTTCCATAACACTAATTGGCTCTACGATCAGTTTTACGTTATAAATAATAAATTGTATATTTTACCCTACACCATATTATAATGAATGATAACACTAATTACGCATTTGTACATGAAAACGTAAATACCGTGAACTCGGTTAATTGCTCTTTTGATATTCTAGATACCTTAGTATACAAACAAAACTCACTGAATATATTGACAACAAATATCTGTAGTATTAAAAAACACTTCGATGAACTATGTATTATTCTTGATAACATTGAAACCAAATTTGAAGTGATCGTTTTAACTGAAGCATGGCTAGGTTTAGACAACATATCAATTAATAACTTCGCAACAAACGGCTATACAACATATTCCACCACAAATAATAAAAATAAAAATAAAAATAATGGTGTTGTAGTCTATTTAAAGGACACATTAAGTGATATCATTGTTACCGAAACCAATAAACAAGCATTAACATACCTAGAGATTACTTTTAAGATGTCAAAAATTGACTTCTTGATTTACACGATTTATAGATCACCCAATAGTAATACAGACGTAACTTTACTCGAGCTTAATGATATAATACTTTTAAATTCCACTTTAAAAACAGCTAGTTACAAAATATTATTAGGTGACTTAAATATTGATTTGGTCAAGCATTCTAAAATACGAGAAGAGTACCTACTGGCAATGGCACAGTTCGGGTTTGCATCGGTTATCAATACGATCACTAGACCAATTTCAAATACCTGTATTGATCATATTTTTATTAAAAAAAAGGCTCACTCTAACTTAGTTACTCTAAATCAAAAACTATCAAACTCAATTGAAAACCACAATTGGTCAGAAATACTTTAATTCACTGACGTAAATAAAGCCACTCAATATTTCACTAGCACTTTAAATAACCTAAAAAACCAAGCCTCGGCTGAAATATCCATCTCACAAAAACTAAAAATTGAAACCATGGGCCACAACCGCGATTATAAGTACTCAATAAGACAAAGACACCGTCTCCATTTACAAGTTGAAACACCTCCTTAATTTAAAATTAATATATAATATTACGTAGTAATTATTTAGAAACAAAATTACAAAAATAATAAATCCTACACCTAACCTGATCTTTACTACAAAGAAGAATTACTAAAATCTGGAAATAACACAATACTTAAATGTCAAACTATTAACAATATCTTAGCAAAAAATAAGAAATCAAGTAACCTTAAGCCGTGGTTTCCTACAACCACGCATCCTTGATTACGTGGTGCGCGATGCGTGATGCATGATCGCGCAAAAGTTGTAACCATGAAAAACTATATTTGTGTTCATCAATAATTCACGCACGTGAATATTCACGCGCGTGATTGTCGATTCACGCACGTCAATCGAGCAACAGTTGCTACTAGAGCAACATTTGCGTGTCACGCAGTGGAGGACAAATAAAATAAAAATATTTTATCCCCTTCTGTAATATTATAATATATTTATTATTATTGATCCAGAACCATCAGGGCAAACGATCCTTATGTGTTTCCCGTCAATATCACCGCAGCAATTCGGAAAATTCCACATTTCATAGAATCATTGGATACTTTTTTTAAGCTATGTTCGGTAGGTTCTGGCATTGTTATGTTTTTCAATCGGTTACAAATAGCTGTTTGATATTCTGAATTGAAATGAAAGAGATCTGTAACTCTCTTCGGTTGCTAAAAATCTGTAAAATGTAAATACAATTAAATTATTTTTATTAAACGACTGCAAAACACGTTGGCGTACAATAAGAGATTCATACAAAAAAAATATGAAAAAACGTAAATTAGGTACTGGTTCAGCAGCTCCGACAAAATCAAAGTATAACGATGATGCTTAAACAACATTGAAGATGAAAGAAGGTAAAAACGAATTATTATTATTAAGCTACTTTATTAGTATATATAGATATAAATTTTAAATTTTAATCAAAATTTCATTTAATTCGGAGATTACATTTTTTTTATTTAGATTAATTGTAGTTGTAGCATAAAAATATTTATTTTTTTTAACTAAATAGTAAATATTACAATGCATAGTAAAGTCTATCAATTTTTAATTTAAGATTCTGAGTGGAACGATGAATGTATTGATTTTACAATGATGTGAGTTTTTTTATTTTTTTTGTGTCTGTGTACACGATAAGTAGTCGAAATAATGCTTCGATTTTCAACTTCAGTATCATGTTCGATTGGAAAGTGAATATCGTTGGTGAATTGAGGAGTTCAAAATTTAAAATTCCCAGTATGTTTCAAAAGCGCCAAAAAAACCAAAGAAAAATTAAGGAAAACGGGAATTTTTACGCAAAATCGATTTTTCACAAAATTGAATTTGGTTTTTGGTGTAACTTTAAAAAAAATAACAGTAGATACATGAAATTTTTACTGGTTGTTTATATTTGCATTTTCTATACACGATAACATTTTCAAAATATTTTAAATTATTTATAACTGTTAGGGACATTTTCATTTTCCATTTTTTTTTAGTTTTTTTTCTAGAAATATCAATAAAATTTTATTTGTTGGTTAAAAAAGCTTGAAAATTTTATAGAATGCTCCTAGTTTATTGTTTCAAAGGCAGATGAAAAATATTAAAATTCCTTAGTCACAGTTTTTTTTATAAGCATTTAAAGTTCAAAAATTGACAAAATATGAAAAAATCACGAAAATTAGCAAATTATTTTAAGTTAAGAATTCGTAAAAATGTAGCTTTTTAAATCTAAGATCTTAAAATGTAATACAAGATTCTTTATAAGATTATCTACCTTGTCAAAAAAAAAAAATGTCTATAAGTAAGTCAAATTGAATTTTTATGAGCGTTTGAAATTCAAATTTTTACAACATTGGATATTCACTCGATTTCTCATGTAGCGATTTCCTTATTTTGTTGTAATTCAAAAACAAATAACTGTAGATACATGAAAATTTCACTGAATGTTTAAATTAGAATTTCCTATACACCATAATATTTTGAAAATATTTTGACTCTTTTTGATTTGTTTACGGACATTTACACCTTTCAATTTTGTTTAGTTTTTCTTTCTATAAATATCAATAAAGTTTTACCTGTTGGGCCAAAAATTATAAAAATTTAATACAAGGCTCCTGATATATTGTTACAATTGCAATTGAAAAATATTAAAAATACATAGGCACAATTTTTTTTTATAAGTATTTAAAGATCGGATTTTGACAAAATGTATCAAAATTAATCGAAAATTATCAATCATTGTAATTAATAAATTATAAAATGTTCAGTTTTTATAGCTAAGGATTACTAAATTTAAAACAAAGGTTCTCATAAATAGTTTATACTGTAACCAAAAAATTTAAATAATATATGAACACAGTTATTTTTTACAGAGATTTTAAATTCAAATTTGGACGAAATTATATAATAAAAAACCTAGAATAACTATTTTAGTTATTTTGTCGTGATTGTATAATATTATTCGTGGGTACTTGAAACTTCTAAAGTATACTACTATATATCTATGATAGTATCAGGTTTGTTGTTGGTGTATAACGTGTTATAAGTACCTAATGGATATTGTGATATGATTAATTTGGAATTCATTATAGGTCAATTTTTTTAATACCATAGATAAGTATATAATATGTCTTATACCTAGAAGGACATACCGTCTCCGCTCAGAATCGTTTTCTTATACAATTATATAATATCATTGAATTCAAATGTAATACCATCCATTATACAGTGACCCACTTGTAACCTACTGTATAGCGGAGCGACACCCACTTGCCCACCTTTTTTATCCATATTTTTGTACCTATTTTATTTTTATTAATATTTAAACAAATACATAAAATGGTATAACTTTAAAAATAAATTACAAATACCACAAGAATATTTCAATAAATTCTGAATTTGATTATTTTTATTAAATAACTCAAATTGATTTTAGAACTTACATAATATTAATGATGAAAATTATCAGTTTAAAATTTAAATATATACTAGGAAGTGTATATTGAGTTTTGAAAAAAAAAACACACACCATTGTAGATCCAATAACTTCTTCATTTCATTAAGAATCTTCAACTTCCACCCAAATTGCAAAAATTCTACCAGCCCGACCAGCTTTTTTTATATTACTGCTTAAAATTCAAACATCTTATGATTTCTAAAATTATTTTTAGAACTAAGTCGAACATTGCCTACAGGGAAAACTTAAACTATTCATAGGTTATGGAATAGGAAAGTTGTAATCAAACTGCGGAGTGAAAGTCAGAAGAAAAGTGTTTTTCTAATAATTCTGGTCAAGTTTCATTAGAAACAGATAGTTCGATAGTTGATCAACCACTGGAAAATGAAATACGTGATAGTTTGACAGATAGGTTCCGAAAACCTTATGAAAACCAAAAAAAAATTGGAACAAAGGATAAGATAATTGAAGAAATCAAGAAAGGGCGAGAGGATCGTTTGGAGGCGTTAAGAGAGATAAGACGAGGCGAATTATGCAATGATCCAATTCAATTTTTTTTTCAAAAGCATGGCTTCGACAGTTGCAACATTTCTCCCAGAATTGGTCGTAGAAGCAAAAACTAGGGTTTTTAATATTATTTCCGAATTGGAATTACGCGCAATAAAGGCAAAGGCTTTGAATACAATATCCGTAGAACCAATTGTACCTTTATCGCCTATTCCATCAAAACAGATAGTTCCGGAAATATTTACCGAAGAAGATTCTTCGAGTTCTGCAACTTCTGCAACAAGCAGTGTTTCATGCCCGATCGCAGCTGCAAACTCCAGTTACTTAGCTTTTTTACAATATTATAATAATGATTATTAATTTTTTTTTACAATTATTAAGCAAAGTTGTTATTATTTTTATTATTTTGTTTTATTTTGCAAACACATTTTAAAAGGGTTGTTATATTTTTAATTTATTTTAAGAAATATTTGTATTCTTTATTTTTTTGTATTTAAGGTAAAACTTGTAGTTTGTTTATAACATTAAAAATATCTAAAATTTCAGATATATGGACAGCAATTTTTTGTAACATTTTAGTAAATGTAACTATACTTCAATAATTAAAATGTATACCTATACATCTTGTTAGTGTACTGTTATTAAAATGAAATACCGATGTTATAATATAATGTACCTATATTTCTACATTGTATTATATTGTTATTTAAACTATTTTTAGTATTTATGTAATATGTTCCCTGATATATTCTATTTTTTTTAAATCTAAGGTACTGAATATACAATAATTATATTATCATCTAACTTACCTTAGAGCGAGAGCGAGTTTTTCCTCCGGTGAAATTGGTCTTTTAACTCTGTTACTCGGACGTCTTCTTATATCGTCTTTACAATTGAATAGTTCAAATGATACCCTAAAATATGAACGAAATCTAGTTTCGTTATCTATAAGGCGTTTTTCAACTAAAATATTATAACATCCTTGTCTGCTCCGTTCAATAAACATTTCGTCCGCTTCATCCCTGAAATAATTTGCAAGTAGCAACAGTTCATCGTCAGCTTCGTCTTCTAAAATATTATAAAGCGTCAACCCGTCTATTTTGGCGAAGAACTTTACACCAACTGACAAATATTTTCTTCACGCACTCATAATCACTCACTGTGTAGCAAAACATAATCACGCAACACGCATCTCGCATGTGTGATCGCGCACCATGTAATCACGGTTGTAGGAAACCACGGCTTTAAATAATTATTAAATAACCCTAAAAACAAAAATGATTATACTGATGAAAACCCCGAATATGCTTTGGCTGAAAAATGTAATAAGTATTTTACAAATGTAGCTACTGATTTAATTACATCACTAAAAAAACGTAAAAATACCTACAATTGCACAGAAACTTCGACAATAATTCACAAAACAATTTTTGCTTTAATAAATTCGACCCAATCACTCATACTGACATTTTTGTACATATATATACATTTATTCATTTTATTTTCATTTCATTATTTTTAAATATTAATTTAATTTAAAATCCAGATATACCTTTTGATACACAGATTAATGATGAAATCTCAACTTTATCTAAAAGGTCTCCATCATTGCAATCAAATGGCAGCTCAACAATAAAAAAAACCGGCCAAGAGCGAGTCGGACTCGTGCACGAAGGGTTCAGTACCATTATCTAATGTCTGTTGTCATTTGCGGGGTGGGAAAAAAATTAAGGCCAGGTTAATAAATTTCCTCCGGGCCATTCAATATTTTCATCTCTTATTTATTTATGTAATGTATTTTGTATTTAAATTTATATAGGTAAATAACAAATATAAGAAAAATGATTATTAATTAAATTGATAATATGATTTCGTTTTCGTATATAGATAAATATACTTTTCACATTAATCCACATTTTCAAATGGCCATTTAGTTTCCAGGCCACCGGGATTTTTTCTGGTATCCTAGTGGGTCACTTCGCCACTGTCTGTTGAAGCTCCACTTGAATATTTATTTTATTCTGTTTTAGGTGAAGCGGGAATAGAAATATATCATGTGTGAAATTTTATCCTCACTTTTCTGATAGTTTTGATAAAATCTATTGCTAAATTTGAAATTGAGACAGATTTCCAATTTCTGCACAGTCTTTGAATCTTTTACCAAATTCTTCACCAAGGTCCGACAAAAAACTTAAAAACATACTGCAGTTTATATCGGAAGTCTTTTTATATTCTAGGATTGTTGGAAAATGAATAAAATCTTGATTTTTTATATCTTCTTCAAAGATTTCAAGTTTTTGTCTTAAAGCAGATACACTTGATATCAGATCACAAATTAACTTTTTTTGCCCTTGTAACTCAGTATTAAGTACATTTAAATATCCAAGAATGTCTTTTAAAAATGCCACAGATAGCATATTGCTCTCATTTGTTAAGAATTTATGATAGTGCTTTGATTCTACTGAATCCAAGTTTACCAAGAACGTGATAACTTCTTCTTTTATAGGTACTCCAAAAACGTTCGATCACTTTGCCTTTACTTAAACAACAGACATTGTTATGTTGAAGTAAATCCGAATACACTGAATCACATTCAAATAAAAAATTTTTAAACTGCCTGTGCTGAAGAGCAGATCGGGACCACAAAAAATTAATCAACTTTTTTTTTAAATCTTTATGCATTGTATCATAATGACGCTTTAAATTAGCACATTTAACGACAGCAACTGTACAGTTGCATATGAGACAAACTGGAACGGCTCCAGCTCTTACTGGCAGTGTAAAACAATGTTGTTCGGTCCACTAGGCCAGAAAATTTCTGTTTTCATTGTCAACTTTACGTTTTTTGGAAAACATACTCGATTGCACACGAATTATATTTATAAATTAATAAGTTTTAACACTACGTACTCAACGGACTACGAATATGAATAATCATAATAATAATTTCTCGACCAACGACAAACGCAACGCGTTAACGATTAAATTGAACTAAATAATATTTGTGTTTCAAGAAGTAGGTTCAATGTATGGTGTTCTGTTATCGTCACTATTATTATAAACAGAGGTATACGATGAACGCTATCGTAATTTCCTAATAAATCATAAAAATAGATTATGAAGCCTCTGAATATTGTATTTTACACACACACACGCGAATGCAAGCGACTGTGGCACGTTCAACAACAATACAGAAATACAGAATACAGATAATCATAGACTGTTATTATTGCCTCAGCGCCTAATGAAATCGATTTCAATATTAGTTTAATTTTTGTTATGAACGGAGGGGGAGGGATACATGGGATATATAGGATAATCAATATTATAATCTATAATCTACCGTGAGGAAAATTAAGAAAATTTTTGGCAGTCCAGTTATTTCCCTTCCGCGGGCCGGACATGGCCCGCGGGCCGCCTATTGCTGACCCCTGATCTAAGCGCTCATGATTAGAGTGAGACTTCTTCACTATTATTGTTCCGTCGACCATCTTTTTCATGGTTCCAGGACAAAAGTGCATGGTACTTTTGCTACATTTGTAATAACTATTGAATAACAATATACAATATTTATAATGAGCTACAAGAATTCATATAAGTTATATTTTCTAATAATTAAAAATTTAAAGCAAGAAAAAAAATTGTTAAATATAATATAATATTAGGTACTATGTATTTCAAAATAATAAAAAGGATCTAGAGTTAAAAATAAAAGTATTAACAGTCAATCCATACACATTTAAGCACACCAAAGAATAATTTAATTTAAAATATTATTTTAAAATATCAATTTTATAATATCATATTATACACAATATATTTTGTTATATTTAAAAATTATTTAATTATGTTGTAAGGTTACCTTAGGGCCGGGCACTAAAAGGGTACCGACGACCACGGATCCGAGGCTGGTTAGGTCGGAGAAACGTGGATTTTGAAACATACACACATTATAATTTGAACCATAGATTTTCAATTTATTACACATCTTCTTAATTTATTAACATAGGCAGCACCTGGAATTTGTGCATGGGTAGTAAATAATATAAATAACCCGACACCCGTAGGGTCACCACCACGTTGGCCTGGTCGCAGCCGCTGTTGTTGTTCCTATTGTTGTTGCATGGTTGTCCTCCCTCGGACCTCCGGGCGACAGTCCTGGCTGATCCAATTGTCCTACTCCATGGCTGGGGACATTGTACACTTGGTCGGAGACTGCGTTGCGCTCATGACCACTGTTGGGAAGTGTTACGGCGAATGAATAATTTTCGGCAACAACGCAGTGGTGGCGGCCTTTCAGGTTTATAATGTTATAACATTGATATACGATATAAAACTTGTTTCGATTTTGTTGTATGTGTGTGCGATCGGGCTTGGGTTCGCCTTATCTCCCCGGACTTTATCCCGATATTGTGGCATATTGGTATATAAACGACCCATAAACCCGTAGCGACCTCGGTTAGTACCACGGGGATAATTTAGTCCCGTTGTTACGTACAGCCCTTCAGGGATCCAAAAGCTGATGTACTTTTATAAATAACAATAGTCAAATTAGAATAGTAATCAAATGTATTTTATTAAACCAGATAAAATAAGAACAGTCGTGTTGATTGTGTAGTTGAGTGAATTGTAGCTCGTTCTAGAATGATAATCTCCGTGTAATTATGTGTGATGGCTGGCGGCTAAGCGAGTCGTACGTTGTTTTACGTCTCTGGATACAATATGCTCAGGCTGTCTCGCTATCCCCTATATATATGGTGGCGGTGTCCTTTGAAAGCGAGCAGCGCGTGTACAGTCGTCCTTGATATGATATGGGCCTCACGAATAAGAGTGGTATTCTAGTCGTAAACACTTTGGCTGTGGTCACATTCCTGGTTGTTTTTATGAGCAAGTACATGAAATTACGTAATCCCATTACACCGTTACAATGTAACTATTTGATTTTAGATTCTAAGCGAAACAATGCATGTATTGATTTTACAATGGTATGATATTTATTTAATTTTGTTGTGTTTGTTTGGATAATCTATAGTAGAAAAATAGATTCGATTAGGGGTGGCGCTACACTAGGGCCATGGTGGGCAAGTGCCCCCCAACATTTGATTTTGTCCCTCCTTCCCCCCCATATAATTTAATGCTGAACATTTTAATCAAATTTGAAAATGCATATTATATTGAGATGTTTTATCCTAATAATTTGTAATTATTTATATTCATTTAATACTAATAAGTAATCACTAATGGTATGTTGATATTTAGAAATAATCATAGTAATTAAATTAAATAAACAATGCTAACAAAATAAAATATAAATTGCTTTATTGATTTTTATTTTAGTTTAGTAAACATCAGCATGATTAACTAACAAATTTAAATTACCTTAAAACCCAATGAAATATGCATGAAATTGGAGGTACATTTTACAGTTCACGGATTAATTGACAAGTTGAAAGTTAGTGAACTGTCATTGTAAAATCAACACATTCATCGATCCGCTCAGAACCTAATATAAAATAATATATAATGTATACATAAAATTATTTATAAAAAAATGTTATAGTTATAATGTGTATTATCTTGATTAACTATGATTAAAAAAAAATTCCGTATATATGTATAATATATTTTTATTATAATATGATGTGTGATTAGGTACTTGGTACTAGGTATTCCATTTTTTTTACCATTAATGTCATATCGGTATCCATCATGCTTCATTGTAAAAGTGTGTATATATTTCAGCAGATATAATAAATATAATATTATAATATTCAAAATCTTAAGCTACCAACATTAATCCTCCTTGAAGTCTTGATGAAGAATGACAAATTTCAAAACTCAAAAATAAGAATTGTACAGTACCTATGGCTGGGTGGGCACTGCCCCCCCCCCCCCACGGCCGACTATGCCACCAATAAAATCATGTTAGGATAAAAAAAATCGTGTGGTGTGTACCCTGCAGTACCTAATACCCATAGATTTTGATTGTAATTTTTTTAGTTACGCATTTATTAATTTGTGATCACAGATATAAAATACTAGATAGCTAACTTGTCTAAATTAGGGTAATCGATGTTGAAGTTAGCCACCATATGCGTGTGGGTCAATGTTTACATAACTATCTTATCAATACTGTATGATAACATGATATTATTCGCACAGAATAAAGTTTTTTTATAAAATATTAAAAAAATATAAAAAATATATATTTCTATTGCAATTGTTTTTAATGAAAACACATAATATTATCCTTATTCAATATTCCATCGTCAGATATAAAAGTATTTTGACCATCAGATTGTTATCATGTATTGATAAGACAATTATGTAAACATTGACCTACACGCATATGGCGGACAACTTCAATGTTCGATGCCTTTTTAGCTATCTAGTATTTTATATCTGTGTTTGTGATCATAATTTATTATCATATAGGTAATATTATGTTTATCAATTCTGTATAACTACTTAACTTGGTACTGTTGGGCCCATTTACCAGGTCTTGCGCTGTGGTATCACAGATTAAATAAAATTTTATCTAACCTCTGATAATATGTTTTTATCAGCTGAAAATATTCAATTACCGATTATCATTTCAAAAATGTGTTTAGAAATTTCAAATTTTACATTTACGACTTGTTAAAGTAGTTAATAGTTAAAGTTTGTTAATAGTTTTACACATTCCATGTTGTTTACCTTGTCTACTTAATACCTATTTATAATGGATGAAAAAAAAAATAGTTTGTTCAAGTATTTTAAAAAGGTTGATACAAGTAAAGGTAATAACCTATATGGTTAAGTTATTAACCAACCATGATTATTATTTTATTTTTAATATTGTGTTTGTTTTTGCTTGTTAAATATAATAGTGCAGCAAGCCAGTCGTGAACTTCAGAGTTCCACAACTGAAGTTTCCACTGGTTCAAGTTTAATTAAATCAGTACTACACATTAATAACCTATAGGTTAGGTTAGGTTAGGTCACCTATAAGTCAGGTACCTACATTAGTCTATTATTTTAAAAATAATGAAAAAAAATCATTGTTTATAATCCTATGTTGTATCAGTATTTTGGGCTGTTTATGTTAGTTATTTAGAGAAATCAAATGCCTACGGTAGTAAGGATATTTAGTCAATGACATTGACTAAATATTCTTGTAGGTTTTTTTGTAATTATTTAAATTATCATCTAAGACAAAATTTTCAAAAGTATCAATTAGATTAGATTAAAATTATAATAAGAATTTTAAAATTTGTTTTTTTTTAATTTTTTGGTATCAACATTAACACTTGAACAAAAGGAAGATACGGAAATATTGAATGAAGATATTCCTTATAGGCAGGCAGTAGGTAGCTTACTATTCTTATCACAGGTAACAAGACCAGATATAGCATATGCAGTAAACTTTGATAGTCGTTACTTAGCAAAACCAACTAAAGCTCATTGGAACTTGGTAAAACGGATTATACGATATATCAAGCGAACATTTAATTATGGCTTGTACTTTAATAACAAAACAAAATTGTCATTAGAAATATTTAGCGACGCAGATTACGCAGGTGACATTCAGACACGACGTTCAACGTCAGGATTTCTATTCAGGTACGGGTCAAGCATAATTTCATGGACATCGCAGAGACAACATTGTGTGTCGTTATCATCGACAGAGGCTGAATATATTTCGGCCAGTGAAGCTGTCAAAGGGATCTTGTGGATTACACGGTTGATAACAAGCTTATCAACAACAGGTGACAAACAACCAGTTTTATTTATAGATAATCAGAGTGCTATACGTTTAGTTAAGAATCCGGAGTTTCATAAGGGGACAAAACATATAGACGTACGGTACCACTTCATAAGGGAGAAATACGAAGAGGGATAATTCCAACTACAGTACATTGGAACAGAGGACCAGATTTCGGACATTCTAACCAAGCCTTTGGTTAAGGAACGATTCGAGAAGTTGCGGTCAGCCATAGGAGTGACTACAATTAAAGAGATTATTAATTGAGGGAGGGTGTTGAAATATACAATTAATATGTAGTATATGTAGTCAGCCTTGACACGTGTGTACAATATAGTAACTAGTTATGTACGAGCATAAGACTCACTCTCTTTACGGATGTAACATGACCTCGGTCGTGCATATATATATTGCCTTTGATGTATGTAATATTCACTTGCACAGGCGTCGTTGTACAGAGCGTATACGATGTGTGTGTACTGTCACAGTTTAATTGTCCAGTTGTACGTTATTATATATTATACTTATACATAATTATAAATACATAATATAAAAACATACATTATATTAATGCTAACATCATTAGTCCGTCAAGCTTCACTTTCAACAATTACAACAATATTATATTAATATTTTACCTTCTGCATGGCTATAGCTGGTATATCGATATTTTATTATAATATAACTATACTACTTTCTTACACCCTTAATGCAATTATCTAGGTATCATACCTATGATATCAGGTAAACCAAATCTGATCAAACAATTTTTATTTAACTTGTTGCCATTTTCAACGATTTTGCAATTTTTGTGAAGGTTGTAGATTATTGTTAACGTACAATTTGCTATTTTAGGCGTTTGTAAGACGGAGACAACACATGCAGGTGCGGTATCCTCTTAAGAAACAGGAATCTTTTTGATTGTAAAATTGTTGTTTTAGCTTATTTAAAAAAAATAATAGTTTTTGTATATAATATAATACAATTGTATTTACAAATTAATTTTAAGAATATTATACAATTCCCAGCTTGAGATTTAAATTTCTGTTTAATAATTTTATTTTATTCATTCCTTAACATTTTCAGGAAATCCTCCAAAAGTTGGTGCAAATAAATGTTCTAATTGTAAAAAACTGGTACATACCTTTTCAACATGTTCAGTTGAAAAGCCAGGAACATAAGATGATCGTTTATGTATGGTGTGCTCTTTATTAGAAGAAGATAACTTAAGGACTGAAAATAATGCTCAAGAAAAATGGAATCGAAAAAATAAGAAGCAGAGAAAAAACAATTCCTATCTAACTCCAAATCCCCATTTAAGATATTTGACCCTGATCAAGTCAAATAGTAAGAGAACACTACCAGTGTTAAAAAATGGATCAAGGTTTGAAGAACTGAAAGGATGCAGAACAAATGCATTTGAAGGGAGAGTTATATTTAATAACACGTGCGCATTTGACTCATTGGCGTCACTTATCATGGTATGTAATTTTATATTTGATTCAAAATATTAAATAATTTTATCGTGCATATTTATTAAAATATATTATATTATAATTTATAATAATGAGTTGGTAATATCAATATCGTACAAAATGTACCCCAACATTTAAGAATAAACTTTAAAAATAAGTATATAATATGTTTAACATTGTTTATATAGGTAATAGTTATTTAAATAAAACTACATATGTAGTTAGGCTATAATAATACCTAACCAAAAAAAATTAATACCTACACTTTATTAGAATTAATAAATCAAATAAAATTTAATTTTTTTTTTAATTTAGGTATCATATTGTGACAGTCAAAAATATTCAGAAATGTTGGATATTTCTGAAAATTCAGATTTTATAAACTTTATTTGTAAAATTTTGAATTCTGGGATAACATCTGCATCATATTCACATAGAGCTGATTTAATTATAAACAATTTGACTGTTGAAATAAAAGAAACGGAATATGCCACTATATTAGTTGTATGTGCATCTACTATTGGCCATGTAATTGACTCTTTGATGGAGAAGTATTCACCAGCAAAAGAAATTTCGAACTGTCCAGTGTGTAAAAATATCAATAAACGAAAAATTATGCATTTCACATTCCAAATTAATGATGACGATAATATTTCTAAATTACAAAATTTCTTTGATGAGCGTTTAGAAAAAGACTTTTTAATTTATGGCCATAATGATTGCAAAGGTCTTAAGACAGTCACTACTGACATTTCGGAAATGCATATATTTATTGATATTCTTATTTGGGAAGGTAAATAATATATATTTATATTTTTATAACAATTTAATATTTGATTGACATATATGTTAAATAATTGTTTCATTTATGTATTAAAATATGTAAATAGGTGAAGAAGCCATTTCCAGCCAACGCAGTAGTAAGGCAGCAACCATTTTTAAGATAAAGCTGTGTGGCATACCGGAATTAATAACAGTAAAATCCACAGTATATGAACTAAGAGGTGCTGTAGCTTTTCAACGCCCTAAAAGTTCGTTGAGAAATTCTGTTGGGCACTATACAACATACACAAAAAGAGGATCTAAAAATTGGGAGCTTTATGATGACCTCAAGACACTTCCTGTCCAAGTGAAAGAGCAGACAATAGTTCCGGTCGAATTTTTGTTTTATTCTGTTTAAAGAATATTATTATTTTAATTATTCAGCGAAAGAATTTTTTATTTTAATAAAGTTGAGTTTGTTTCTTTTTATATTATTTTAGTAGAGTTATATTTAGTTATATTCAAAATTCTTGAATTTTTAAAAGACAAGTGTTTTTTTTTTAAGTTTTTTTTAAAATAGAAACTGGGTGTATTTTCTTAGGTGGGAGATATATAGCCATTGCGCTTTGCAGATTTTTTTTACTGTAGAAGGACAGTGGGCAGTGTTGGATCTTAACTTTTTAACACCCGGGGAAAATGAAAAAAATACTCCCATTTCAAATAGATGACTAGAATTAGTATTTTATATTTTTTTTTTTTTTTTTAAAAAGCACAGTCGCACAGTATTGTTAGGACCAACCATTTAAAAATCCGTTCACAAAATATGTACTGGACCAATAAAGTACATATTTACCACAAATAATTTAAACGATTTAAAATTAAAAATCAAACATTTAAAATTTTAAACTGATCAAGTAATAGTTTTAGAAAAACTTATTTATGGTGTATTTAATGATAAAATCTGTGGTCAATATTTTTAAGTTTCAGGTTTAGAAAAAATAATATTGATAAAAATAACATAAATTCATTATTTATTAACTAATATAAATTAGGTCAACTGCCTACTTTTAGTATAAAAAGCATTATGTAAAAGAACAATACTTAATTTACAATATAACAATATTATACATTTTTAATATTTTTTAAAATAAAAACTTACCTAGATATGGAAATGTACCAATAATACAACTAAATACTGAAAATTGTAGTATAATGACTATGACTTATGGATTAAATGTTTTTTACACTAAAATATCTACATTCTACATTTTCTAAATTTTTTTTGACATCTTGGACTTTGAAAATAAATTAGATGAAGAATACAGTTGAAAAAAACTAACCTATAGAATATAAATTTCCTTTTAAATTATTTTATTATAATATGTAAGGCATAATTATCAATCTGACTTAAGCTACGTATCAATAGGATAGTATTTTTATTTTAACCAATGGCTCTCTGCAAAGTGGGTACTTTATACAAGTAAGAATTATTATGCTATAGGAATATGTACGTAAAAAAAATGTTGAGTGGCGAATCTGTGACATGTTGCATTGTTGCCCTAGTCTAACAAAAAGTGAAATGACGCCAATAATATTTAATATTGTCATATATTATCGTTTTGAGTACTAAATATTGGCGCAAAAAAATTGCAAAAAGTCAAATTTTGAAGGTGGGTGGGGCTGGAGTAGAGATTACAATCCCGGGATCCCGGCTACTTTTAGGTACCGAAAATACCGGGACCAGTATAAATAAATCCCGGGATTCCCGGGACTGTGTAACAGCACTCAATAATTCAATACCCCGATTATGAATGCCGATTAACGTGTTTTTAAGATAAGATTATATTATGTTATGAGATTATATATTTTACGACCGATCGGTATACGTACGAAAAATTAGTATACGCAATACGCTGTTCTCTGAATACATTCAATACGTAGGCCTTAGCGCTACAGACTACAGTCAACACTCATCAGTCACGTTCACGGCTCACGGATATTTTTTTTGATATTTAACTTTGATACCACAGTGTTTATACTTTTATTATAAAATGTCACGTGAAAGTGTTTTTGTTAAACACAAAAAAGATTTAGATACATCGTCAGCGTGGAGTCATTTCCTAATTGCAAGCGATGGAAAAAGTGCGCGTTGTAAACGATGTTTAGCAGTATTGAAGACATTGGGAGGATCAACAAAAGGTTTACACACGCATTTGTTATCCAAACATAATTTTAAAGTATTATCTGAAAGCAATTGTTCATCAACTAGGCATGGGCATGGAGAACCGTTAGAAGAAAATTCGACACCGCCACCAGCTAAACGAAAATTCGTTGAATATTTTATTAAGAGTGATACACTAGATCATGTTTTGGCTCGAATGACAGCTTTGGATGGTTTCCCATTTATTGTTTTTATTTTTTCTAATGATTTAAGACAGTTATTAATATCCAAAGGTTACTCTGATTTACCAAAATTAGCCGTAACAATTCGAAATCGTGTGGTAAATTTTAGTTTAACAATCAGAAAAGAAATAATTGACGAATTTAAACGGTTGAAAAAAAAAGGTGAACGATTTAGTTTAACTTTTGACGAGTGGACTTCCACGGCCAACAAACGTTTTATGAATATTAACGTCCATTCGCAAACAAAATTTTGGAGCTTAGGTCTTATTCGAGTTAATGGTTCAATGACAGCTGAAAACTTTATTTGTGTATTAAAAGAACAAATGAACAATCTTTTAAACATTTTCTTATTAAATTTCGGGATAATCCCGGGATCCTGGGATTAATAGCTAAATATCCCGTAATCCCGGGATCATAAAATCGGGCCGGGATTGTAATCTCTAGGCTGGAGTAACGTTACCCCAGCCCCACCCGTGGAAAATTCTACTTTCCGGGAAAACCGTTAGAGCAGGAATTCCGGGGTTTGCGGCAGGAATTGGCAGGAATTGAGCACTAAACATTGAGGTTGGAAAAAGTTAAAAAGGTCGAATTCCGACCTTGGGGGTTGGAAAAACGTTTCCCCCGCTGCAAATAGTAGTTTTTTAATTTTTACGGGGGCGGTTTTTGAGCAGGAATTCCATGGTTTGCGGCAAGAATCGGCAGGAATCGAGCACTAAAAATTGGCGCAAAAAAAATTGCAAAAAGTCAAATTTTGAAGGTGGGTGGGGCTGGGGTAACGTTACTCCAGCCCCACCCGTGGAAAATTCAACTTTCCGGGAAAACCGTTAGAGCAGTAAGTCCGGGGTTTGCGGCAGGAATTGGCAGGAATTGAGCACTAAAAATTGTCGCAAAAAAAAGCAAAAATCAAATTGGGGGGGGGGGGGGGGGGGTAACGTTCGTGTATTGGTGCCATTGATGGAAAACATTGTGTCCATCAAGTAAGTTTAGTAAGAATTTATATTTAAACATTGATTTACATAATTATTTATCTTTTTAAGGCATTTCCTAATAGCGGTTCGGTAAATTATAATTATAAAGGTTCACCTAGCACTGTATTTTTGGCGGTCTGTGATGCTAATTGTAAATTTATTATGGTTGATATTTGAGCACCTGGGCGGTGTAGTGATTGTGGTGTATTTAAAGATAGTTTAATTGGGAAAGGTCTTCTAAATAATACACTACAACTTCCCTGTCCAACGAAATTGTCCTCTTCCACTGACTTGTTTCCAAATTGCCTGGTAGGAGATGAGGCATTCCCACTGTTGCCAAATATAATGCGGCCATATCCTGGTAGAGGAAAGTCTAAACTTCCTTTAAAACAATGATATTTAACTATTGGTATGTAAGTTATAGGTTGTATAGTTAATGTTTGTTATAAATAGTTTATTATTTAAGTTTAAGTCGTGCAAGAATAACTATCGAGAATACTTTTGGGTTATTAGCAGCAAGATTTAGGATATTTAGAAGGCCAATTATTGCCAGTGAAAAAACAGTTCATGCTACCATTCAAGCAACTGTAGTGTTACACAATTATGTAATCAGTAATGAGAAACTGAAAGGTATTTTTTGGTTAAAAAATTAATTTTCAGCAATTATTATAAGTATATTTTATTTTACATTTTTAGGTACTGACAATTACTGTCAATCAGTTCATGATAAGCAGTTAACTACCAGGCAAGAAAGAAGAGATAATCAATCAGGTGGTTTGTTGCCAGTTCTACAAATGGGATCTAATAACCTCCCAAAGGAAGGAAAAGATGTCAGAGAAAAATTTACCAATTACTTCTCTGGAGAAGGAGCTCTTGATTTCCAATATGATATCATATAAATTTATCTTTTTAATGTAATAAATAAACATAACAATTTGAATTAAAGACTTTTCAGTCTATATCTCTAAACAAATATGATGTAGTGTTGTCAATATAGAATAAAATCAATAAGTTATAGACCAAATTGCTTAATAATTCACTCTGGATTTCAATTTTATATGAATAATATAAAGTTTATAAAATGAAATCTCTCATTCTAAATAATATATTCGGTTCTTGCAATCTAATAATGTATGTTATATTTCGGATTCTTTCTATCTACACTCTACAAAGTATAGATAATACTGAAACAGGCCACGAATAGCGTGAACTAAGATCATATTTTATTATCGATATCTTTGATCTTACTCAAAACCTACAATGCAGTAGAGCCACTTTCCTGGTTTTTTCATATGATTTTCAAAAAAAACTACAAAAAGTCAGAAATAGTAAAATAATCATGTTTATAACAATTAAATCGTTGAGATTCTAAAATTTAAATTATAATTTCTATTAAGAATATTGACATTAGGTACTTATATAAAAATGAAATATTGTATACTTGTAAATAAAAATGTTAATTCTGTAAACAAATAATAGGTAAATACTATACTTAAGCATTATAATACAACAAGTTATAACATAAATATAAATGATAAATGAGTTAAATTAATCGGTGTATAATATTTAAAGCAAATAACAAACATATATTATAATTAGCGAGACTTCAAAATAAAAATAGTTTACAGCAACAAAATATTTAATAAATAAGTAATAACATAATACTTAATAATCTTAATAAACTTAATAATCTTATTGATAATACTTTTTTCAGTCTATGTCTCTAGACAAACATTAATTAATTTTAAAATATGTAGGAGGTTCACAGCCCTTTGTTCCTCTTTAAGGGGATTCAACACATTTGGGACAAATTGGTGTGGAATCTCCTTAAGTACACATCATGATAACAATAATTTAAAAAAATTAAATATTGTATGATCTCTTCTAACAGCTGAGAGAAATTCATCCTGTAATTTAGTAATAGTTTCTTTTGGTAAGCCATTCATTCTTATAGACAGATATTTGAAAAATGTATCGTTTTCATTTATATCTTCTGTATTTGGTTGAACTGGTGGTATTGGTCTACTCTCTTTAAGTTCATTCAGAAGTTCACGAGTAATATTTAAACTTTCACCTGCAAAATTACATTGTACAAACACAAATTAAATACTAAAATAAGTGTCAATAAGTTTTTAATGAAACGCTTTAAATATTATACATTGATAAATTTAATACAAAATTAAGAACCTATTAACTCACTTTGTTTACGCTTTGGATTTTTTTCTCTTATATCAGAATCAGTAGATAAGATTGTGTCATAATTTTCAAGGTTGCAAGATGTAGTGAAACAGAATATAAATATAATATATTAAAAATTAAGACTACCAATATAGTACCTACATTAATTTACCGTTTATTATCTTCTATCATACTGTCCAAAAACGTTAAATGTTTTAGATGAACCCATTCTTTCTTTTTGCCTTCACTTCCACTAGGTTTTAGTTTTTTTTCTCTTGTATATTTTTGTCTTATGTATGACCAACTCTTTTTAATGGTAGACATAGTATATTTTCCTAGATAATATAATAGTGACAATAAAAAATAATGAAAAATTATTCGTAATTTGTAATTTTCAATATTTATATAAGATAATGAATCTACCAAAAATGTATTTATGAGTGATCGATAACATATCCATAGCCAAAACATTTTAATGGTTGACTATAATTCACTTAAAATGTACAATATACTACTAAGTTTTATAGCTAATTCCTATTATAATAAATTATTTAAAAAAATATTACATTCTAGTCTACAGCTTAATTAATTTGGAATGATTTACCTTCAAGGCTTCAAACTGTACATACACTTGGTTCCAAAAACGATCCTTAATGTTTTCTGATCTCTAGCTTAAATTCATTTTGTGATCCCAAATTGGGCGACATAGCTCTATAAATTCTATTAGCCATGAGTAATCCTCTTAAGAAATCTCACAAGCCTTTTTCAACCCCTCAACATTATCATCATTATCCATACATTTTGTATTTTGTAAATCTGTTTTCATAGTGGTAGAAATAGAACGTGTTGATGGTTGGTCTAATTCGAAAAGACCTACCATAACAAATAATATTAAATTCAAATAAAGTTGAACATTTTAAACAGGATAAAACATATAAAAAAAATTACTTGATTTTGAATAAACAGGCATGTAGGATGTTGGTTTTTTAATACAAATTTATTGCAAAATTTACAAACTGATCCCTGACAGTACAAAATATTATAATTGATAAATAAACATAGGAAAACAAATATTTAAATTGTTCAAGAATACTTTAAATAATAATAATAATAATAATAATAATGATATTTAAATACTTGTAATACAAAATAGTACAAATAGTAAATACATAAATAATAATATAAAAAACATACTTGAACAAATGAAGTCATTTTGTATAATTAGATAATAATAAAATGTATAAATACTATATTATAATAATAGTTTTATAACATATTATAATATTATAATATTAAATTACATTAAATTACCAATTAATAATTATATTATAGAATACTTAATTATTTTATTTTGTAAAATTATTATTTTGATAGATGATAGAAGGTAGTTGATAACAATTATATGGGCAAAATTATTTATTATCAGGAGGATTGAACCACGACTGTTACCGCACGACGACAAGTTAAATTTTTTTCAACTTTCTGGTAACGCCTGGAACATGGTATATTAATTAGGTAACCACAATATTCAGCCAATCAAAACACTGTAATTTTAGGACGACACGGTACAGTGTAAAGGCACCTTAACGATTTGAGAAGTTGCGGTCAGCCATAGGAGTGACTACAATTAAAGAGATTATTAATTGAGGGAGGGTGTTGAAATATACAATTAATATGTAGTATATGTAGTCAGCCTTGACACGTGTATACAATTTAGTAACTAGTTATATACGAGCATAAGACTCACTCTCTTCACGGATGTCGTGAACCTCGGTCGTGCATATATATAGGGCCTTTGATGTATGTAATATTCACTTGCACAGACGCTGTCATACCGAGTGTACGCGGTGTGTGTGTATACTACATAGTCACAGTTTAATTGTCCAGTTGTCCGTTGTTATATATTATACTTATACATAATCATATGGTCGTGTTATTACTTATTATATTAATGCTAACATCATTAGTCCGTCAAGCTTCACCTTCAACAAATATAAAATATTATATTATTATAGGTTTATATATATATACTATAATATACTGTGTATTATTAGGTATAGGTAATGGGTATTATTAATATTATTATTCTCGTTAATATTATATTTTAGTATTTTACTATAATATTTTTTTTTGTTTGTTTTTTAATTAGTTTTATTACACAATCTGTAAATATATTATTTTTTACAATAAGTGTAAGTGTTGTAGATTAATAAAATAAAAATAAAAAATAAAAATTACAAATACAAATAAAGAGAAAAAGACAGATAATTTGAGCGAAGAAACCATCCAGTGATGGTACTTCTTGGAGTTGTGGATAGGTTTTATTCAGTCAGGAGGTCCCGACACCATTTTCGTTTTAAACGTCTTCCAGGGTTACCTGGAATGCTGAGGGTAGATAAGTTTGAGATTAGAGGATTGCGGTGGTTGGAGAGATTTGAGTGGAATCGTTTATACAGAGTTTTGGCTACGAGTTGAACTGTTGGAATAGAGAGGTCTTTATGGAGTGTATCGTTTGAGACGTAGAAAGGGGCTTTGGTAATTTGTCGAAGTCATTTAGATTGAAATATTTGAATTTTTTTTATATTAGATGGTTTGGCTGAACCCCAAAGTTGTATACCATATGACCATACGGGCATTAGTAGTAATTTATATATAAGTATTTTGTTGTTCAGATTGATGTGTTTAGATGTAAGGAGAAGACGTAGCTGACGGGATCGGTTATTCAAAGCAATACGTTTGGTATGGATGTGGTGGGCCCAGGTCAATCGACGATCCAGGTGGAGTCCGAGATATCGGACATTTTGTGTGGGTGGAATGGGTAGGTTATTGAGAGTTATGGTAGGGCAGTTTCTAGGTCTTAGAGTGAATGTGCAGTGGGCTGATTTTGATTCGTTTAATTTTATTCCCCAATCTTTATACCAGGTTTGGAGAAGATTTAAGTGGACCTGAATGTGGTTGGAGGCTATTTCAGGGTCTGAGTTAAGCGCCATAATAGCTTTGTCATCGGCAAAGTCACCTGTGATCGTATTGTTGGTTGTTGGTTGGTCGGAGATGTATAGATTGAATAAAAGTGGAGCTACTACGGCGCCTTGGGGAACTCCAGCATGGATGGGGTTTATTTCAGATAAGGTTGAGCCAGAGCGTACGACAAAGTTCCTGTCTTCGAGGTATGACTTAAACAATAGGTAGTAGTAGGGTGGGAAGATGGATTTCAGTTTGAAAAGGAGGCCTTGGTGCCACACTTTATCGAAGGCCTGGGCCATGTCTAGGAATGCGGCTGTACATATTTGTTTTTTTTCCAGAGAGAATGAGATTTTGTCTACTAAGCGGTGGACTTGGTGTATGGTGCTATGGTTTGTACGGAAGCCAAATTGATTGTTTGGAGTATTTGATTCAATAATTGGGATAATGCGTTTTAAGATAAGTTTTTCGAAAATTTTTGAGAAGAGTGGGAGTAGGCTAATAGGTCTGTAGGAACTGGGGGTATCAGGAGGTTTATTCGGCTTTGGTATCATCACTATTATTGAAAATTTCCATAGAGTAGGGAAGTAAGTTAATCTTATCATAGAATTGTATATGTGAGTTAATAAAAGTATGACTTTTTTGGGTAGTTGAGAGGCTACTTCAGCGGTTATTAGGTCAAAACCTGGGGTTTTCTTTCGAGCGGATTTGTCTATAGTATATTTAACTTCACTTGGCCGTATGTGTTTTGGAGGGAGACTCATTGGCAATGGACAGAGTAAAAAGTCATTTACTTTGTGGATTTGGCTAGTGGAGAGAATATCGGCGTGCGGTTTGAATGTAGTCTAGATGGTGACGGAATATATTCGATTTTTCTATGTCGTTTATTGCCCATGTTCCATCTGCTTTTCTCAAGGGTGGAACTGGGGGTTGACTACGAAGTATTTTTCTGGTAGTTTGCCAGAGCGAGTTGTCACTTGAAGAGAGATCTATTAGATATTTAGTGAAGTTTTCAGATCTAATTTGGGCAAGGTGTCTTTTGAGTTTATTTGTGAGATTATTGAAAACACGTTTGTCGGATGGGTATCTTGTTCTCTGCCAGGTGGCTGGGGCTTTTCGTTTTTCCGCTATTAAGGACCTGGTATAGAGAGGGAGGTTTTTGGTGGTGCTTTTGGGAGTGGGAGGAGATGAGCAGGACCATGCCGTTTCTTGTATAGATTTTGTGAGGAAATTAACTGCTTCATCAATATCATTGGGAGATTTTAGACTTATGTTGAGGTTTATTTTGTTCTCAAGGGAAGATCTGAAGGTTGCCCAGTCTATAGTGCCTTGAGTTAAAGTAGGTTTATTTGGTTTATTTGGAAGCATAGTGTCGATTGTAAGGAGAACCGATGAGTGGTCAGAGCCGAGGTCATCTAAGTTGGTTACTATACTGTGAAGATTGTTAGGTATTTTGGTTAAGAATATGTTGAGAATGTCTGGATTTTTCCTTCGGGAGGTGGGCCAGTATGTTGGCGAGGGTGGAGCATGTATTTTGTAGTTTCGTGATTGTGCTAGAGCGTTTATGATATTTCCGCGAGGGTTATTTGCGCGGCAACCCCATTGTGTATTTTTAGCATTTATGTCACCTCCGAGAATGAACTTTTGGCCAAGAGAGTTGAAGAAGTTTTCATATTGGGTTTTGGTGATTGTATGGCGTGGTGGGCTATACACTGCATAGATGTTTATGGGAATATTGTTGAGTGTTGTGAGGATACCGCAGGACTGCAAGTGATCTGTTTGATATGGTGGTAGGGGATAGAACAACAAGGATTTTCTTATTATAATAGCAGCTCCTGCGTGAGCGGTGCCATCTGGGTGATTGGTTTTAATAATATTAAAACCTGGGAGATTGAGGTGTGATGAGTGCGTAAAATGCGTTTCAGATATTAAGGCGATATCTATTCTATTATTTTGTAAGATGGCTAGTATCTCGTCTATAATATAAAGATAAAAAATAGATACCTGCTATTACAAACCAATAAATATTTCAACTATATGGTAATTCAATTATATTACAATCAGTATAGGTAATATCATTGATTTTATAATATACAGATAAGCCGTGCTATAGGACGAAATGGAAGCAAACACTTTAGTGTTATCGGCGCTCGATAGGTGTCGTTGATGTATTTGTAAATAACTATTAATTAAAATAAGAATCCTAAGCGATCGAGCATACGGCTGTCGCGCGGTGTCAACGACAATGGTCTGTGGAGTGGGGCCACGATTAAAAATATATCTATATATTATATTATCAGTCCGCCCAGTTCGTTCGCCGTTATACATATTATCAGTTAATATCGTATAAACGTCAATGAAAATGGTTAATACATTATTAACTAATTAAAAAATCGGTATACAAACGACAAGTAGGCTAGGTATTTATTTATTTTTTAATTACAAATAAATCAGTTTACAGTATAATTTGTTGAAATTTAATATTTTTATTGAATTACAATACAATGATAAAATTAAATTTACTACGCATAATATTGATATTAATAATTACGTTTAAACTAAAAATTACTTTCAATTTATAAAAAATAATTGTAATTCGAAGGTATATACAAAATATTGATTGACAGTTAATAATATTTTCATTTATTAAAATGATAATAATATATTTGTCATATCTTGTCAATAATTATTATGCCAATACAAAAAAATAATTCTTATTTCTATAATCAATAAAACAACATTTCTATCACACTAGTACCAACATATTTTTACCAACATTCATTTTTATAAGAACAATATTTACACAATTTAAAATTACAATATTATAAATCTAAAATGTATCTATTTTATAATGTTTATTATAAAATAATTCTATAACAATTAATAATAAAAAAAAATTATAAAATTTAACTTTTTTAAACATGACTTAAAATTTTTAATTTTTCAATCTTAGCTAATTTAGATGTTGTTGCATATAGTTGAGTTTTTTTTAAATATTTTACAAATTAAAAGTAATTTTATGATATATAATTTATGATTAACACAATTGATATTAATATTAATATCATTGTATTAAAAAACGATTCTGAGCGGAGACGGTTTATTAACATTCAGTGAAAATTTCAAGTCTACGGTCATTTGTTTTAGAGATACACCAAAATAAGAAAATTGATAAATGAGAAATTTAGTGATATCCAATGTTGTAAAAATTTAAATTTCAGTCATAAATATTTAATTCAGTCGGGCTTCGGCAGCCAAAGCGATAACATGTGCGCTGTTCCGTAATGTGTTACATATCTTATCAGTTTACTTTTAATTGCCATGGCTAATGTGGTTTCTCCTATCGTTATAATTAACAAAAACACCGTTCGCAAATCGAAAATGAATGCCAATCCAACAAAAAGAGCCCTCTCATCGTCATCGTCATCACCAAACTCTCCGGTCCACGATGAAAAAAAGAGCAAAGTTTTTGTTTCCCCAAACCGTTTTGAAGTCTTAAGAACGGAAGACGAAGAACTAGATATCACAGACCTCCCCGTCTCATCATCCAGCATAGAATATCCAGTTCAGAATAACTTCCTAACATCGTCCTTAAAAACGTTAGTGACTTTACTACTCTCAATAAGGATCTTACCCGTTTGGTGGGCCCAGAGAGCTTCACCTGCAAAGCTAAAAAATCCAGTTTAATTTTACGGACAAATACACGAGCTCAGTATATGGCCATTAAATCTTATCTGATCGATGCCGCCTGTGATTTTCACTGTTATCAACCCCGCGCTCTCCAACCGTTCCGCGTTGTATTACGTCACCTTCACCACTCTATCACCACCGAGGACATCATTAATAGCCTAAGTGCCGGGCCACACTATCCGTTTTCACCGGTCCGTTGGTGACCGGTGAAAACGCATCCGTTAGCTGATAAAAACGAAACACATTAATATCAATGTAGGTGGCCACACTGTCCGGTACGCAACGTTCCGTCGTCCGTCAAACGGATCGCAACGCAACATGCTGCGTTGATAACGGATACCGGATAACGTTTTGTATATCGAAACACGTTGTTTTTAATTATAGTGGCCATACCATCCGTTTTTGTCTTCCGGTTTTCGTATGTGACGTACTTATAAAAAGGTATAGAAGTTTTTATATAACTTTAAAAAATTAGCACAGCTTCAAAGTTACAAAGTATTGCTTTGCAATGTTCGAAACCGGTAAATTTATTGAATTAATCCAAAATAATAATGCCATATGGGAAACTGGGTTGAAGGAGTATAAAGATACAACTGCAAAAAATAACTGTTGGAATGAAATTGGAGGAACAATGTACCCCAATTGGATCGATCTGGACCAAAAAAAAAAAGATGATTTAAGTAAGTATTTAGATGCATGTTATTTTTATTTGATGTGCATAAGTAGGTAATAATAATAATTCAAATAGCTAACCTATTATTATTTATTATTAGGTATAAAGTAGGTACATAACATATAAAATATAATTAGTAATTATGATGTAACAATATTATTTAATTTAAATGAATTTGGTATTAAAGGGTAAATACTATTCACAAATATTTTCTTTTGATACTTCAGATAGTTAAAAATATTATGAATTAAAAATACAGTTACTTATTTGTCTACTAAATTATTCTTTTTATATTACATTACATGTTAAAATAGGTAGTTATAGGTATTTACAATAACTGATTATGAAAACCTGTGTATTAAACAAAAAAAATCATAAATGTGTTCTTCATTAAAATTAATTGAATTAAATAAAATTTAATTGTTGAAAATATTATATATTTGCAAATTGAAATGGTACAGCTCCTGGACCCATAAAATAATTTGCAAAGTAATCCCTGACTTGTGTACCTTGTGTTCGAGCTCCTGTTCCAACAGATACAATATCATCCATAGAATTTGTTTCAGCATTATTGTCTTCATAATTAAAACCATCCCTTCTTCTAACAAAATTATGTAGTATACAACATGTTTTAATAATTATATCTGTAAACTCTGGCTCTACTTGAATTACTTATTACTTATTACTTATTCGCTAAAACTCCAAAAGCGCATTCTACGGTCCGTCTGGCCCGAGAGAGTCTGTAATTGAATACCTTACGTGTTAAAGTTAAACCACGTCCTGGGTATGGCCTTAAAAGATTGGTATGAAGAGCAAATGCTTCATCTCCAATGAATACAAAAGGTTGTGGATTATTAATGTCATCTGGTAAATTTGCTGGATCTGGAAGCTTAAGCTGCTGTGAATAGAGTTTCACCCCTAAAGCACTTTCTCTGAAGACATTTGAATCGCCTTCTTTGCCATACGCTCCAACGTCTATAGCTATGAAACTAAGATTTGCATCAACGGCTGCCATCAAAACAATTGAAAAAAACTTCTTGTAATTAAAATATAGAGATCCAGCATTTTTGGGGTTCTTGCATCTGATATGTTTGCCATCAATCGCTCCAAGGCAGTTAGGAAAATTTGTTTTTGTGTGAAATGTGTTTGCTATTTCAATCCACATCTCCTTAGTTGGTTCAGGCATTTCAAAAGCTTGCAGTCTATTCCATATTACATGACAAGTCTCATATATTATATCACTAACAGTACTTCTTCCAATATTAAACTCAAAGACTAGTGATCTAAAAGACAGACCCGTAGACAGATATCTAAAAATATAGTTAAAATTATAGTTATTATTATATAATATACATAAATTGTATTAATTTAAAGCTGTTTGAATTTAGTTAAAGATATGAAAAACTCTTGGCGGCATATAAGGGACAATTACATGCGGTATTTGAATCAAGGAAAGAGTGGGGACTCAGCTAAAGCTAAAAAAAAATATGTATATGCTGATTCATTGTCGTTCCTTCAACATTCCCTTGAAAAAAGAAAGTAATTGTTAATTTATTCATTTACCTAATAATTTATAAATATATTATTTGAGTAAACAATCATTTGTATTATTCTTAAGGACAAGTGGAAATGTTAAAGTTATAGAGGAATCCACAAATCCACAAGAGTTAGACATGTCTACAAATGAAGAAGGGGTTGATTCAGAAGCTGACGATTATAGAGCCTCTCTTTCCTCAGATATTTCTTCGTCTTACATAGCCACTCGACAGTCAAAAAAACAAAAAAAATCATCTACAGAATCTCTTTTTCAATCAAAAAAAATAAAACTACTACAAACTGATGAAACCCCAGATCCAGATACTACAATTTTGATGTCATTCTTACCAAAGTTAAGAATGTTAACTGAAGACCAAAAAACCGACTTTCAAATATATGTATTACAGTTTTTTAAAAACTTATCTCGACCCTATCAACCCAATATGTATAACTATCTGCAACCAATAAACAGTTATGTAGACAATCCCACAAGGTTTCAAAATATTCAAACAACTCCACAACATCAACTAACACAGTTACATTCTCCATCTGCCTTTAACCAACCACAAACATATACAAGTACAATGCAACATCACATGGCACAGCAACAAGCATTTGAAGCAGAACCACCAAGTACACAGGGCCACCTTTCTGAATACCCTAATTAGGTTAGGTCTGTGTTAAATTTTTATTTTATAAAAGTTTGTTACTTTTTTTTTATTGTTATTATTATTTTTTGTTTAATGGCATACTTAAATTTATATTGTTAAATTGTTACTATTATAAGAACAAGAAAGTTTCTAAAGGTTACAATAGTATTCCTATTGAGAATTCACATTAAGTTGTGTTTTAATTTTTAAAATTGTGTACATTTGTACTTAAATGTAATATACTGATGTTACTAAGTTTCTGAAAGTTTATAATAAAGAAAAGTTTGAGAATTTGTTGTAGTTATTAAAATTAAGTTAAATTCTGTTAAACAGCGCAGCCAAGTTAAGTTCAATGTAGACCTATCATTGGCAGTGGCGTAAATTGTTTGGTGCAAATGTTGAAAATCATTAAAATTTGTATTGGTACCTTTGTTTTAGTTTCTATTATCAAAAGTATTTATTTATTTAATAAAAAAATATCTATGCAAAAATTATTAGCATTTGAAGTATCAGAATAAAATCTTAAAAATGTGTAAACTATTTTGAGTCAGAAATTCATAAGCAATTTTCTATTTATATTTAAGATTTGTAAATTGAGAATAAGAAAGTTTATTTTGCATTTTTAGGAAATTTTAGTTTTTAGGTCATTTTCTTAATTTTTAGGGCATTTTAGAGGTGTTGGAGCATTTTTTGGTTTTGTGGAAACTAAGGATGAATTTGAAATTTTATTTTAAGATTTCTACACCAACAAGGTGTAAAAAAATATTATTTTTTTTCCAGATTGAACGAAGTACAAGTCTATAAGATCTAGCTTTGTGTACAATTTTTTTTTTAGATTTATACTAACACTGTAAACACTTGTAAAATATTTTTATAATGCATTATTTTTTAAACTTTTAATTGTAATTCATATAATTTTATTTATACCAAAATTATTAAAAATAAAAATTTTAGTAGTGCATAATTTATAGTTTTTAGGTCAAAAGCATTTTTTTTTTTAGGTCATTTTTCGGGGTTTTTAAGGGCATTAAAAGTTTTTTAGCTTTACGTAAGATTTTTTTTTATTTCTTCGTTTTTAGCAGAAACAAAAATTATTGTTTGTAATGATTATAGTTATATCAAATATTAGAATTAAGAATTGATCAAAATTTCGAAAATTTTCAGTTAGAAATTTTTAAAATTTTTTCGTTTTATAGCTAACATTAAAAATGTTGATAGAAGACTCCTCACAATTGGTGCCACCTAAACCAAAAAAAAAGTTTACTGGAAAGTAGCATACATTTTTTATGAGCGTTTGACCTTAAAATGTGCACAACATTGAATTTTCAATTTTCATCAGTAAATTAACGAATTTTCATCTATCAATTTTTGATATTTTGTTGTAATTTAAATACGAATAATCCTAGATACTGGAAATTTTTACCAAATGTTAAAATTAAAATTTTCCTTACATGGTAAAATTTTAAAACGATTTTATATTTTATAACTATGAGAAATTTTTAAAATATTTTAAATTATTTTTCAGTTAGAAATTCATAAAAGATTTTCTTTTCATAGCTAAGATTTAAAATTTTAATAAAAGATTTCACATAAGTTTTTCTACCTATAAAAAAAAAACGTACATAAATAATTTATTCTAAATAAGTTCCATTTCAATTCATAAAATGTTTTTAAAAATTATAAATAAATGTTAATATTTTTATTTATTTTTTGTTACTTACCTTAAAGTTATTGCAAGTCTTTTTTCAGCACAGATAGATTGACGTAGTACAGTATCTTCTTTGGTTATGTCACCGCGAATATGCAATAGTAACTCTTCAAATGTGTTGATACTCATACGGAAATAGTCAAAAAATTTATCAGGGTAATTCTTGATTTCCGAATAAAATGTGTCGAAGGATTTTAATTTTTCTAAATTCATATTTAGAGGATGAATCCAGTGTTTCCTGGAACAACTTCTTGGTTTATCTTCTAGCATACCAAGGGCTTCTAATGCAGCAATTAATTTTATTTTTTTATTTCTATTCATTTTTTTAAAAACCGAAACCAACTCAACAAAATTCAAAAACCGTGTACACCTTACCTTTGCATTATACACATATGCTTATTGATTATTCAACTTTCAACTATCTACATTTAACCAATCATTATCAATTAACAAATTAATAAATCAATACCTAACCTAAAGTATGAATAATCAAACCATAGAGGGAAGAAATATGGTGGGAAAAACTTATTTATCTGACCTAACCTAATAAAACGGACTGAAAAAACGGATTGTGTGGCCACCCATAATCGTCCGGTAAAAACGGTCCGGTAATTTGATAAATTTTAGCGGACCGGTGAAAACGGATAGTGTGGCCCGGCACTAAGTGACCTTGGACACAAAGTTATCAGCATTTCAAACATACTCAACCGTACAAACAAATCGCCATTTCCGTTATTCAATATTTCCCTAGCCCGCAACAGCAATAACAACGACATTTTCAAAATAAACAAATTGTTTAACTCAATTGTGAAATTTGAGCATCCAATAAGGCCACTTGGTCCTCCCCAATGTCACACCTGTCAAATGTATGGACATACACGCAATTATTGCCACCAACCTCCGCGTTGCGTGAAATGTGGGTTAAGCCACCTCACCGAAGATTGCTCTAAAACACGGGAAGAACCCGTTAAATGCGCCAACTGTAACGGTAACCACACTGCCAACTACAAAGGTTTTCAAATATTTAAAAATTTACTAAAGCGCACCATTTACAAAGTCGCTTACAAAGCTGACAAAGTTGAAAAACCGTAAAAACACCCCAGCCCACCATCTGCTGTACCTGTTGCACCACAAATCTTCAAAGTCCCCAGTTACAACTCAAATCAAAAACCGACATCTTATGCCAAAGCCACAGCCAACTCTTCATCAGTCAATCAACCTCTCCACATCATCAACAAATTTATTGAAGATCTAAAATGTATTTAAACCCTCTTATATTGGCTCTTACTTCCCTAATTAACAAAATTACACTTCCCATTTCGTCCACTCCATGACATCCCTCATCCCAAGTTAGAGGGTACCCACACTGGTGGGCCTCCCTCCTCAAGCCATTCGTGTTATTATTATTTCATTCATTATCTAATTTACTTATTGTATCATAAAAAATACAGATTGTAAATATTCTATTTATCTAATAAAAAAAAAAAAAAAAAAAAAAATATTTAATTTGACTTTCTGGTAGACATTTTTTTTTTTTTTGATAAAGGTAGACAAACTTATATAAGGAATCTTATATTATATTTTCAAATCTTAGATTTAAAAAGAAAAATTTTTATGAATTTCTACCTTAAAATAATTTGCGAATTTTCGTGATTTTACGTATTTTGTCAAAATTCAAACTTTGAATGCTCATAAAAAAAAAACAGAAAAGAAAGTGTTTAAAGAAAATATGTTGTGTCTTGCGTCCTATTAAATAATATTGCTTATTTGGTCACACTGCTTGACGGCGGACCACTACTCTCTCCTTAACCATGTAGGATAAAGCTAACCCCTCGTGACAGCGACTGCAAGCCCTCTTTGACCCGCCTTTCCTATCTATGGCGTAGCCTAACACCGCGTGACAGCAGCCGCCGATAGCGCTCTGCAGTGGTCGCCAGCAATTAACTGTTACCGGTTTTTTCTACAGTATGGCTTATCTGTATATTATAAAATCAATGGTAATATGTAAAAATAATTGTATAGCACGACTGTATTATAGTCTATAGCGCCAATATTACATATCGATATAGCAGTATAATATGTATGTAACGCACATATTTTATTTTTCTATAATTCCTAATTGTATTAATTTCAATTAAATTCAGTGATCTGAACTATATGAGACAACGGAAGACCGATATTATAATTATTTAGCACCGTCTAATATTCAAAAGTTATTTGTATACTCTTGGTCGTTAGGAATACCTATTACTATATAATATAGTATTAGTATTTTTGAATCCAACTGCATTTCGATATAAATAAAAAACAAAGGAGCTTAAAAATGTACGTAGATCTAGATATATTCTAATAAACCTATCCTATTTTACTTATACTGTACCTACTAAAAACATTATTTAACGATATAATACAATTTAACTGTCTGTAGCATGAATTAGGTACGATTCATTATATAATTTGGACAGTTCACAGTATATTCGATTTTGATGTTGTGCTTATTAATTATTATACGTATTCGTGTTCGAATTTGATTATTATAATAAAAATCTAAATTAAATTTGTTCTGTATACCTACTTATTCTTAATATCTTAATATATATTATTATAAACACTTATTCAGTTATTACGAAAAAAACTATCTCAAATTACTAAAAAACTGCAGGTTAAACTTTAAATTGATACCAACGTCATGTTTATATATTAGTTATGACTGTAATATGAATATAATTATAAACACATACAACATATAATTATTATTAGTGTGCCGAGTGTGCCCTAGTACATAATTTATATAGGTATTAAACATATATGGACATTATGGTTTTTATTATCCAGTATCCACCAGTATTTGGTGCAAAATCAAAAGTTCAATCAGACAAAAAAGTTGTGCAATTCACCATAAAATTTAGATTATCTTTAGTCGTAATGCAAAATAAATTCTTTTCGTCGTGTACATAAGTAAATTGTTGATCTCTATATTTAAAAACATCATTAGTCTTCATATTTCGAAGTTCAGTAACAGCCTCAATAAGATTCTTAGGTAAAGCAGGATATATTTTTCTTTTTTTGCAATAAATTGCTTTTCAAACAGATTTTAAATCTTTATGTTGAAGGACAGAAGGGTCAATGCCTTTCATGAGTTCCGTACGAATAATTTTGACTGGTCTAGTCGAAACTGATTCCACTGCTTACCTTTCACAATTTTCACCTAAAACTTCTTTAATAGATAATTGATTTTCACCATTTTTCTTCAACTTTTTCAACTAACAAGCTTGCTGTGCATTTGTTATTGGTGCATGTCCACTTCTCAATATTGTCTTTTCTCCGTCTGTAGTAAACCGACGTTTTTGCACAAAAACGGCGTTCCGAAGCTTAGGTAGCCTGAACAACATCACGCCACCAAAATAGGCCACTGAGGCTGCCGCCTCATTGGTAAATACTGATCGACTACGCATCACGCCATTCCTATGACGTCAATCATCCTTTCCTAAATCCCGGGCATGCCTCATATAAATAGGGGCCCTGTTTCACAGACTTTTCAGACATAGAAGTAATTACCAGTGCTTTACAATACTTGTGTGGGATGCGGACTAGAAACAGCCGCATCGCCGTCCACATCAAGTATAATTTAAATTACAACTATTCTCCGGTAGAATTATTATTCTGTCGACAAATTTTAAACTAACTTAAAATTAACTATTATATTAGTGGGCGGTCTCCCGGCGGCGGCGGAGCCGTCGCTGCGTTATCACTCCTCTTATCACTTTTTCCGATTTTTTTCAAAAATCAAAGAAATTTCGAAAAAAATCGAGTTTTACCTCCCCGGGGGGCCTCGGGCGGCCCCGTTCGGACCTTATTCGCGTTCCTCGGTAAATTTATAGTCGGCGCGCGGCCCTACTTTTTTCCCGGCGGGCCCGCGGCGGCGGATGTCGCGTGCGATACGAGCGCCGCCGTCGCGCGCGTTTTTTGCATTTTTTTTCGAAAATTCGAGTTTTAGGCGTTTTAGGGCGTATCGACCTCCCCGTTTGGATCTTATTCGCGTTCCCCGCTAAATTTAACGTCGAAACGTGGCCCTACTTTTTCAAAAACGAGTCCCCCGGCGGACGAGGCGATCGCCGAGAGCGCCGCGTCGTCGCCGTTTCGACGGTTTTCTCGACTTTTTCGACTAGAGTCGCGTTTAGCACCTCTACGAGACGTCCGACCTCCCCGTCGTCGACGTATTACGCTAAATTTATAGCCGGCTCGCTTACCTACTTTTTCAAAAACGAGTCCCGGGGAGGAAGAACGTCGCTTAAACGAGAGTAGGTACCGAGTAGGTACCGTGTATGTATCGCTATATACGGGCATAAATACGTGCGTCTCGAGGTTCGATTTTTTTCACGAAGCTCGCGTATTATACGTCCGAGGGCGGCGGAGCCGGTCGTCCGCTCGCCGACGCGGTCGGATCGCCCGCTCAAACGCCCTTTGACGGCCTTCCAAACGGCGTTCGCCTTTCGCGGGCACGGCGACGCGGCTTAAGAGTCATAGAATTGACTCGGATTTCCATCTGAGTAGGTGGCTAGATTGGTTAGGCGTTAGGATAGGTGACCCGAGGGTCGTGGTTTCGAACCCGGTGGCCGTGTAACATCAAATTTCTTTTTTTTGCGTTTTTTTTTTTCGTCACATTTATCATTTTTAACGAAAGTGTTAATTTTTTTTTTAAATTTTCATTATTATATTATATATATTATTATTATTCGTTTGACGATATTTATTGGGCAAAAAAATAATTATAATTAACTGTAGGGTATTTTGATGATTTGAAGGACCAGCTCGATAGAATAAATTTGTAGCGATTTGTATCTACCGAACAGATTGACGGCGTCAAGGATAGGCAACCAAAGTTGCATGTACGATTAACGTTGTTAGAGGTGACAAGACGACGACGCCTACTCCAAGATATACGTAATCCAACACACAGCTAAACGGATTGATGGTGGCTGGCTATGACGCGACGATGGACAACAAGGAACCAGAACGCACCGAAACGCGAAGGTGTGAAGGATACAGGTTATACACTGGGAAATAGGATTATGCAATTTACGTATAAGCGGGGGTCTCTCTGTGCTCGGATCGGAAAGTATATGCAGTTGTCACGATATCCACTGATGCCCCAGAATGTCCACGCATCAATGACTGAGGTGGAGGTATAAGATTGGTCGATCCACATGCATCGAAAACCACGCGGAGCTTAGTAGTCTGACTTTCCGGGCGTAGAATGCAATGATGAGGTATATAATAACAATAAGGAGTATTCTGATTATTTTTCGGAACCGCTTCCATGTGTTTATTTTCAAGATAATCCCTCATAAAGTCTGAATAGTTTTTGTTAAGATTTTCGTCACGTGATAGTCGATGTTCGAGGCTATGGAACCGTTTCAGGGCTCCACTTTTGGAATCTCCTAGGATGGGGTGTGAATGTTTGAAGGGTAATGCAACACTGAACCGTCCGGATTCCAGGCGTTTGATTGAAGAAGTGAATATTGCTTCAGCTTGAATTTCATCGGGACTTAGATGTTGAACATTAGGTGGTTCTTCCATTTCCCAGAATTTGGTCAGGGAGTGTTCTAACGATAGATTAGAAGTCACTAACAAAGAAGTCACCAAATTTGTCTGTTTTGGTGAGACTGGTCCCATCAATACCCATCCAAAGATAGTACCAAAGGCAGTTGGTTCTAAAGGTTGACCTGCGATGCGATTTCCCGTGAGTAATGTAGGTGCAACATCAGCCCCCAGTAAAATGTCGATTGGACCAGGAATATTGAATGTTGGGTCAGCTAAATCTAAATTCGTCAAATGAGACCACAAAGAAGATTTAATATTTGATTGAGGTGTGGCGTCTGTAATTTTGGATACAATGAAAACGTCGAGAGGAACAAGTGGCTCAGACTTTCCCAATGGTGACAGCCTGATAGAAGTTATACCCGATACCACATTAACAGACGTGCCTGAGAAGGCATTCACCTGAGCTGAACAGCGACGTCGTGCCAGTGAAAGACGATCAGCACAGTTTTTCGTAATGAAGCTAACTTGGGATCCAGTGTCCAAAAGTGCTCGGAAAGTGTGGGTCTCTTGATGGGTTGATTGGATGTTAACCAGTAACGTTGACAATAGGACAGATCGAGGCACTGCGTCAGCTACTAGCATTGTGATGGGGGACACAGTGGTTGCAGTTGACGTAGCAGCTGCTGTAAAATGAAGCAGCGAATGGTGCTGCTTTTGGCAGGATTTGCAAGTGTTTTTTGAAGGACACGTTGTATATGAATGACCGGACCCCAAACAATTGATGCAGAGATTAAGCCTTTTCGCTAGTTGGAAACGTTCGGTTGGAGTTTCACTGAGAAAGCTTGGACATTGACGTATGGAATGAGTATCTTTGCACATGGCACAGCTTTTGGTAAACGTCTTAGGAGTGCTTGTGGTTAACACTTTAGGAGACGGTCCAGGTTTTGAATTTGAGGTCGATTTTTGAGATGTCCCTTTAGGTTTGGTTGCATTTCCCGCCTGTGTGTGACTGTACGAGTGTACTTCTTCCGAACGGATATGACTACGTAAGAAATCAACGAATTCGTTAATTTGTGGAGAAAAGTTGTCACCGACTTTCAGTTCCCAGCGAGACCTCAGTTCATAATCCAGATATTTTTCAAATATGTGAATGAGTATAGGACCCCACTGACGAGTAGCAAAGGTCAGATTGTCTAATGCAGCGGTGTGTTCCAGAATCGTGTTTATTACGCGTTTAATTGAATCGGCATTGTTAAATGTAACGGTATGTGGTGTTAGCAAAGCATCTAGATGGATCCGAGCTAAGTCACGCTTATTTCCATACCGACTCCGCAGAATTTCCCAAGCACTTTTATAGTTTGCTGGTGTTAACGTGAGATGCACTATCAGAGAGAGTGCTTCTCCCACCAATGATGTCCGTAGGCATTCAAATTTTTCAACGTCAGACATGTCCGGGGTATGTGAAAGTATTGACAAGAAAAGATCTTCAAACCCTTGAAATTCGGTTATATCACCGGAAAAAGTCGGAAATGACCGTTTTGGTAATTGGTAGATTGATAAATGTTGAGTCCCACCAAACTGAGTTGTATTATGTACCTGTGAAGTATCAGATTGCGAAGATAGTGGTATCTTATGAAGCTTCGCCATTGCCATAAGGTCATAGTACATTGTATCAAAGGAATCAACAAACGACATTGAGCAGGTATTGTCTGTGACACCCTCAGGTGCTGTTTTTGAACTTACTGCGTGCTCCATGATGTCAATATCATTATTGACCTCTATACGTATGCCCTTTAGCTCCACGAACATGGATTCCACCTTTGCTCTTTTGCTGGTACTATTTTTGTCAGCAAGGTAGTCATTTACTGTTTTGACGAAATAAGTGACTCGGGCCAATGCTCGAACTACTCGTGCCTTTGCTTGGTAGTACAGTATTTCCCCTTCGTCAACCATGTTGAAACGTTTAGAGAAATTGACTCCTATGCGAAATGACAAGATATACTCGTAGAATAGTTTAGAAGGTCTAGGTTAGTCTTGTAGATCCGGTTCGAAGGACCAAAATATGTAGGGTATTTTGATGATTTGAAGGACCAGCTCGATAGAATAAATTTGTAGCGATTGTATCTACCGAACAGATTGACGGCGTCAAGGATAGGCAACCAAAGTTGCATGTACGATTAACGTTGTTAGAGGTGACAAGACGACGACGCCTACTCCAAGATATACGTAATCCAACACACAGCTAAACGGATTGATGGTGGCTGGCTATGACGCGACGATGGACAACAAGGAACCAGAACGCACCGAAACGCGAAGGTGTGAAGGATACAGGTTATACACTGGGAAATAGGATTATGCAATTTACGTATAAGCGGGGGTCTCTCTGTGCTCGGATCGGAAAGTATATGCAGTTGTCACGATATCCACTGATGCCCCAGAATGTCCACGCATCAATGACTGAGGTGGAGGTATAAGATTGGTCGATCCACATGCATCGAAAACCACGCGGAGCTTAGTAGTCTGACTTTCCGGGCGTAGAATGCAATGATGAGGTATATAATAACAATAAGGAGTATTCTGATTATTTTTCGGAACCGCTTCCATGTGTTTATTTTCAAGATAATCCCTCATAAAGTCTGAATAGTTTTTGTTAAGATTTTCGTCACGTGATAATCGATGTTCGAGGCTATGGAACCGTTTCAGGGCTCCACTTTTGGAATCTCCTAGGATGGGGTGTGAATGTTTGAAGGGTAATGCAACACTGAACCGTCCGGATTCCAGGCGTTTGATTGAAGAAGTGAATATTGCTTCAGCTTGAATTTCATCGGGACTTAGATGTTGAACATTAGGTGGTTCTTCCATTTCCCAGAATTTGGTCAGGGAGTGTTCTAACGATAGATTAGAAGTCACTAACAAAGAAGTCACCAAATTTGTCTGTTTTGGTGAGACTGGTCCCATCAATACCCATCCAAAGATAGTACCAAAGGCAGTTGGTTCTAAAGGTTGACCTGCGATGCGATTTCCCGTGAGTAATGTAGGTGCAACATCAGCCCCCAGTAAAATGTCGATTGGACCAGGAATATTGAATGTTGGGTCAGCTAAATCTAAATTCGTCAAATGAGACCACAAAGAAGATTTAATATTTGATTGAGGTGTGGCGTCTGTAATTTTGGATACAATGAAAACGTCGAGAGGAACAAGTGGCTCAGACTTTCCCAATGGTGACAGCCTGATAGAAGTTATACCCGATACCACATTAACAGACGTGCCTGAGAAGGCATTCACCTGAGCTGAACAGCGACGTCGTGCCAGTGAAAGACGATCAGCACAGTTTTTCGTAATGAAGCTAACTTGGGATCCAGTGTCCAAAAGTGCTCGGAAAGTGTGGGTCTCTTGATGGGTTGATTGGATGTTAACCAGTAACGTTGACAATAGGACAGATCGAGGCACTGCGTCAGCTACTAGCATTGTGATGGGGGACACAGTGGTTGCAGTTGACGTAGCAGCTGCTGTAAAATGAAGCAGCGAATGGTGCTGCTTTTGGCAGGATTTGCAAGTGTTTTTTGAAGGACACGTTGTATATGAATGACCGGACCCCAAACAATTGATGCAGAGATTAAGCCTTTTCGCTAGTTGGAAACGTTCGGTTGGAGTTTCACTGAGAAAGCTTGGACATTGACGTATGGAATGAGTATCTTTGCACATGGCACAGCTTTTGGTAAACGTCTTAGGAGTGCTTGTGGTTAACACTTTAGGAGACGGTCCAGGTTTTGAATTTGAGGTCGATTTTTGAGATGTCCCTTTAGGTTTGGTTGCATTTCCCGCCTGTGTGTGACTGTACGAGTGTACTTCTTCCGAACGGATATGACTACGTAAGAAATCAACGAATTCGTTAATTTGTGGAGAAAAGTTGTCACCGACTTTCAGTTCCCAGCGAGACCTCAGTTCATAATCCAGATATTTTTCAAATATGTGAATGAGTATAGGACCCCACTGACGAGTAGCAAAGGTCAGATTGTCTAATGCAGCGGTGTGTTCCAGAATCGTGTTTATTACGCGTTTAATTGAATCGGCATTGTTAAATGTAACGGTATGTGGTGTTAGCAAAGCATCTAGATGGATCCGAGCTAAGTCACGCTTATTTCCATACCGACTCCGCAGAATTTCCCAAGCACTTTTATAGTTTGCTGGTGTTAACGTGAGATGCACTATCAGAGAGAGTGCTTCTCCCACCAATGATGTCCGTAGGCATTCAAATTTTTCAACGTCAGACATGTCCGGGGTATGTGAAAGTATTGACAAGAAAAGATCTTCAAACCCTTGAAATTCGGTTATATCACCGGAAAAAGTCGGAAATGACCGTTTTGGTAATTGGTAGATTGATAAATGTTGAGTCCCACCAAACTGAGTTGTATTATGTACCTGTGAAGTATCAGATTGCGAAGATAGTGGTATCTTATGAAGCTTCGCCATTGCCATAAGGTCATAGTACATTGTATCAAAGGAATCAACAAACGACATTGAGCAGGTATTGTCTGTGACACCCTCAGGTGCTGTTTTTGAACTTACTGCGTGCTCCATGATGTCAATATCATTATTGACCTCTATACGTATGCCCTTTAGCTCCACGAACATGGATTCCACCTTTGCTCTTTTGCTGGTACTATTTTTGTCAGCAAGGTAGTCATTTACTGTTTTGACGAAATAAGTGACTCGGGCCAATGCTCGAACTACTCGTGCCTTTGCTTGGTAGTACAGTATTTCCCCTTCGTCAACCATGTTGAAACGTTTAGAGAAATTGACTCCTATGCGAAATGACAAGATATACTCGTAGAATAGTTTAGAAGGTCTAGGTTAGTCTTGTAGATCCGGTTCGAAGGACCAAAATATGTAGGGTATTTTGATGATTTGAAGGACCAGCTCGATAGAATAAATTTGTAGCGATTGTATCTACCGAACAGATTGACGGCGTCAAGGATAGGCAACCAAAGTTGCATGTACGATTAACGTTGTTAGAGGTGACAAGACGACGACGCCTACTCCAAGATATACGTAATCCAACACACAGCTAAACGGATTGATGGTGGCTGGCTATGACGCGACGATGGACAACAAGGAACCAGAACGCACCGAAACGCGAAGGTGTGAAGGATACAGGTTATACACTGGGAAATAGGATTATGCAATTTACGTATAAGCGGGGGTCTCTCTGTGCTCGGATCGGAAAGTATATGCAGTTGTCACGATATCCACTGATGCCCCAGAATGTCCACGCATCAATGACTGAGGTGGAGGTATAAGATTGGTCGATCCACATGCATCGAAAACCACGCGGAGCTTAGTAGTCTGACTTTCCGGGCGTAGAATGCAATGATGAGGTATATAATAACAATAAGGAGTATTCTGATTATTTTTCGGAACCGCTTCCATGTGTTTATTTTCAAGATAATCCCTCATAAAGTCTGAATAGTTTTTGTTAAGATTTTCGTCACGTGATAGTCGATGTTCGAGGCTATGGAACCGTTTCAGGGCTCCACTTTTGGAATCTCCTAGGATGGGGTGTGAATGTTTGAAGGGTAATGCAACACTGAACCGTCCGGATTCCAGGCGTTTGATTGAAGAAGTGAATATTGCTTCAGCTTGAATTTCATCGGGACTTAGATGTTGAACATTAGGTGGTTCTTCCATTTCCCAGAATTTGGTCAGGGAGTGTTCTAACGATAGATTAGAAGTCACTAACAAAGAAGTCACCAAATTTGTCTGTTTTGGTGAGACTGGTCCCATCAATACCCATCCAAAGATAGTACCAAAGGCAGTTGGTTCTAAAGGTTGACCTGCGATGCGATTTCCCGTGAGTAATGTAGGTGCAACATCAGCCCCCAGTAAAATGTCGATTGGACCAGGAATATTGAATGTTGGGTCAGCTAAATCTAAATTCGTCAAATGAGACCACAAAGAAGATTTAATATTTGATTGAGGTGTGGCGTCTGTAATTTTGGATACAATGAAAACGTCGAGAGGAACAAGTGGCTCAGACTTTCCCAATGGTGACAGCCTGATAGAAGTTATACCCGATACCACATTAACAGACGTGCCTGAGAAGGCATTCACCTGAGCTGAACAGCGACGTCGTGCCAGTGAAAGACGATCAGCACAGTTTTTCGTAATGAAGCTAACTTGGGATCCAGTGTCCAAAAGTGCTCGGAAAGTGTGGGTCTCTTGATGGGTTGATTGGATGTTAACCAGTAACGTTGACAATAGGACAGATCGAGGCACTGCGTCAGCTACTAGCATTGTGATGGGGGACACAGTGGTTGCAGTTGACGTAGCAGCTGCTGTAAAATGAAGCAGCGAATGGTGCTGCTTTTGGCAGGATTTGCAAGTGTTTTTTGAAGGACACGTTGTATATGAATGACCGGACCCCAAACAATTGATGCAGAGATTAAGCCTTTTCGCTAGTTGGAAACGTTCGGTTGGAGTTTCACTGAGAAAGCTTGGACATTGACGTATGGAATGAGTATCTTTGCACATGGCACAGCTTTTGGTAAACGTCTTAGGAGTGCTTGTGGTTAACACTTTAGGAGACGGTCCAGGTTTTGAATTTGAGGTCGATTTTTGAGATGTCCCTTTAGGTTTGGTTGCATTTCCCGCCTGTGTGTGACTGTACGAGTGTACTTCTTCCGAACGGATATGACTACGTAAGAAATCAACGAATTCGTTAATTTGTGGAGAAAAGTTGTCACCGACTTTCAGTTCCCAGCGAGACCTCAGTTCATAATCCAGATATTTTTCAAATATGTGAATGAGTATAGGACCCCACTGACGAGTAGCAAAGGTCAGATTGTCTAATGCAGCGGTGTGTTCCAGAATCGTGTTTATTACGCGTTTAATTGAATCGGCATTGTTAAATGTAACGGTATGTGGTGTTAGCAAAGCATCTAGATGGATCCGAGCTAAGTCACGCTTATTTCCATACCGACTCCGCAGAATTTCCCAAGCACTTTTATAGTTTGCTGGTGTTAACGTGAGATGCACTATCAGAGAGAGTGCTTCTCCCACCAATGATGTCCGTAGGCATTCAAATTTTTCAACGTCAGACATGTCCGGGGTATGTGAAAGTATTGACAAGAAAAGATCTTCAAACCCTTGAAATTCGGTTATATCACCGGAAAAAGTCGGAAATGACCGTTTTGGTAATTGGTAGATTGATAAATGTTGAGTCCCACCAAACTGAGTTGTATTATGTACCTGTGAAGTATCAGATTGCGAAGATAGTGGTATCTTATGAAGCTTCGCCATTGCCATAAGGTCATAGTACATTGTATCAAAGGAATCAACAAACGACATTGAGCAGGTATTGTCTGTGACACCCTCAGGTGCTGTTTTTGAACTTACTGCGTGCTCCATGATGTCAATATCATTATTGACCTCTATACGTATGCCCTTTAGCTCCACGAACATGGATTCCACCTTTGCTCTTTTGCTGGTACTATTTTTGTCAGCAAGGTAGTCATTTACTGTTTTGACGAAATAAGTGACTCGGGCCAATGCTCGAACTACTCGTGCCTTTGCTTGGTAGTACAGTATTTCCCCTTCGTCAACCATGTTGAAACGTTTAGAGAAATTGACTCCTATGCGAAATGACAAGATATACTCGTAGAATAGTTTAGAAGGTCTAGGTTAGTCTTGTAGATCCGGTTCGAAGGACCAAAATATGTAGGGTATTTTGATGATTTGAAGGACCAGCTCGATAGAATAAATTTGTAGCGATTGTATCTACCGAACAGATTGACGGCGTCAAGGATAGGCAACCAAAGTTGCATGTACGATTAACGTTGTTAGAGGTGACAAGACGACGACGCCTACTCCAAGATATACGTAATCCAACACACAGCTAAACGGATTGATGGTGGCTGGCTATGACGCGACGATGGACAACAAGGAACCAGAACGCACCGAAACGCGAAGGTGTGAAGGATACAGGTTATACACTGGGAAATAGGATTATGCAATTTACGTATAAGCGGGGGTCTCTCTGTGCTCGGATCGGAAAGTATATGCAGTTGTCACGATATCCACTGATGCCCCAGAATGTCCACGCATCAATGACTGAGGTGGAGGTATAAGATTGGTCGATCCACATGCATCGAAAACCACGCGGAGCTTAGTAGTCTGACTTTCCGGGCGTAGAATGCAATGATGAGGTATATAATAACAATAAGGAGTATTCTGATTATTTTTCGGAACCGCTTCCATGTGTTTATTTTCAAGATAATCCCTCATAAAGTCTGAATAGTTTTTGTTAAGATTTTCGTCACGTGATAGTCGATGTTCGAGGCTATGGAACCGTTTCAGGGCTCCACTTTTGGAATCTCCTAGGATGGGGTGTGAATGTTTGAAGGGTAATGCAACACTGAACCGTCCGGATTCCAGGCGTTTGATTGAAGAAGTGAATATTGCTTCAGCTTGAATTTCATCGGGACTTAGATGTTGAACATTAGGTGGTTCTTCCATTTCCCAGAATTTGGTCAGGGAGTGTTCTAACGATAGATTAGAAGTCACTAACAAAGAAGTCACCAAATTTGTCTGTTTTGGTGAGACTGGTCCCATCAATACCCATCCAAAGATAGTACCAAAGGCAGTTGGTTCTAAAGGTTGACCTGCGATGCGATTTCCCGTGAGTAATGTAGGTGCAACATCAGCCCCCAGTAAAATGTCGATTGGACCAGGAATATTGAATGTTGGGTCAGCTAAATCTAAATTCGTCAAATGAGACCACAAAGAAGATTTAATATTTGATTGAGGTGTGGCGTCTGTAATTTTGGATACAATGAAAACGTCGAGAGGAACAAGTGGCTCAGACTTTCCCAATGGTGACAGCCTGATAGAAGTTATACCCGATACCACATTAACAGACGTGCCTGAGAAGGCATTCACCTGAGCTGAACAGCGACGTCGTGCCAGTGAAAGACGATCAGCACAGTTTTTCGTAATGAAGCTAACTTGGGATCCAGTGTCCAAAAGTGCTCGGAAAGTGTGGGTCTCTTGATGGGTTGATTGGATGTTAACCAGTAACGTTGACAATAGGACAGATCGAGGCACTGCGTCAGCTACTAGCATTGTGATGGGGGACACAGTGGTTGCAGTTGACGTAGCAGCTGCTGTAAAATGAAGCAGCGAATGGTGCTGCTTTTGGCAGGATTTGCAAGTGTTTTTTGAAGGACACGTTGTATATGAATGACCGGACCCCAAACAATTGATGCAGAGATTAAGCCTTTTCGCTAGTTGGAAACGTTCGGTTGGAGTTTCACTGAGAAAGCTTGGACATTGACGTATGGAATGAGTATCTTTGCACATGGCACAGCTTTTGGTAAACGTCTTAGGAGTGCTTGTGGTTAACACTTTAGGAGACGGTCCAGGTTTTGAATTTGAGGTCGATTTTTGAGATGTCCCTTTAGGTTTGGTTGCATTTCCCGCCTGTGTGTGACTGTACGAGTGTACTTCTTCCGAACGGATATGACTACGTAAGAAATCAACGAATTCGTTAATTTGTGGAGAAAAGTTGTCACCGACTTTCAGTTCCCAGCGAGACCTCAGTTCATAATCCAGATATTTTTCAAATATGTGAATGAGTATAGGACCCCACTGACGAGTAGCAAAGGTCAGATTGTCTAATGCAGCGGTGTGTTCCAGAATCGTGTTTATTACGCGTTTAATTGAATCGGCATTGTTAAATGTAACGGTATGTGGTGTTAGCAAAGCATCTAGATGGATCCGAG